TCATGCAGGCGATCACGTACATGGGTGGCAGCGACACATAAGTTGCTTTATAAGTGCTCCGTTTCCCCTTGCTATTTGCGAAGCAAGGGGGGATAAATTGCACCTGTTGTTACTGTGTCGCGTCCCTATGCTAAAGGCTCAGGAAACAAGGTCCAAAGAATGCTGCTCTCCTACGAGCATGAATTCCATGACAACGAGTTTTGGTATGCTCTGGCGGGAGCAGAGCAAAAGGACGTCAACAACATCGATATGGACTCGTTCTCTGAAAGATTAACCCGTATCTCCCATTACTCCTGAACTTGTTCCTGGAAATACCACAGAACACATCGGTTATATCTCCCAGGAACTATCCCTAAGGAACTATCCCTATCCTGCGAGTGGCTGAATAACGTGTGGCTGTGGCCCAGGCTACCTACAGCATAGAAATGTCTCACATTCCCAGCGGAAGGGCCTCACGCGCCACGCATAATAGGCATAACTATACATACAGGGATAAATTATCCGGAGCAAGGGAAAATAAACAAAACAACTGTAGGAAATATACTAACTGCGCTTCGGGGATAAGGCACTACAGTAAGTATAACTAAAGGTTATGTAACACATAATGTCAGTATGGCCACGCTCAAATAGCGTCATTTAGTTCTGCCGGAAAGCTAAGTTGATCTTGCTTGCATTGACGAAGATAAATAAATGCAGAAGAATAGTCATACTAACTTTATACTTCGATCCGGCTGATTATACATCCATACTAACAGGGCAGGTGAAACTTTGTGAAGTGTACATAGTACTTACTATACAGGGACAGTAAGAATCAGATTCGGTGTCATGATTTTATCACAGACATGACATGGTAAGATACATACTATACACAGACAGCAGTCAATCAGATCTTGACCATGGTAACCAAACGAATACGTGAAGAAAAACTACTCTCCCCTGTGGACGTGTTCAAACCCGTCGAGCTAATCCAATAAAGGTAAAGTACTTTCTTCAGGGCAGAAATTACTAAACTACGTGTAATCATATTTCCACAATCCATGTCTTCTAATCCACACACCAAAGAGGGTGTGATGAAGAAACTAAAAGGGGGCGGCGACCCACAAATTCTGACATGGTAACGACGTGCGTGGACATTGCGCGAGTCATCTCACCCCTGAGGAGTCGTAGACCAGGGTGGCAATTTCCCGAGGGACACTTCTTCAGCTAGCCAGGACCGGCTCGGATGTGCTTCAATCTAAGCTGATAATGACTTGCATATGCAAGCTTCGGATGCCTTCCTTGGGTAGTATCATCCTGGAGGACCCTGCATATGGGGGGTGCTAAGGTGGACTAGTTCGAATATCTTCGTAGCCTGTACGGAGTAGTGCGAGGAAGGACATGCACTAGTATGAGAATAGGCATATGTTCCTCCGAAGGCTGCATAACCGGCCCAAAAAATGGGCTGCCAGATTCCATTGTGGCCCGGAAACAATTTCCGTTGGGCAGGCTATGGCAGCAGGCTCACGGAATGGTGCCAGCACATCTGGCTGAGACTGGGCCGCAGGGCTCCGCCTCGAGACATGGTTCAGTAGAAGTTCTGACAAAAAACGACCGGACCCAGTAGATATTTGCTTTTTGCCGTTGTTGTCATCGCTCTTCCTTATTTCCAAGTCGACAGTGACCAGTCAGTATAGATATAGCTTTCCGTTAGAATGACCTATTCAGGCAGACCACTGCACTCTGCGATGTACTCTTGGGTTCCTCATTGCTCGCAATGAATACGCGGAAGAGCGCCTCCACCGATATACTTTGAATGCCACCCAAATCGAGACACCGAGCAAGGCCTGTTGTTGACTGTCAGAATTTGCACTTTCTGAATTGCAACCTCTCATGGCATGCTCCGAAGCTGCTGAACAAGTGTAGTCGACAAGTCTTCACTGGTACAAGCCATAAATTTGCATCGCTAACCCGCAATGTCATAGAAGAGATTTCAGATGCGAGGAGTCCGCCGGCACTGTGAAGGCTGCACAGATCTTTTGAGTCACAGGGTTAGTACTGATGCAAACTTCTCCCACTTAGTCTCTCACGGCATGCGCCTTGATAGTTTGTAAGCGTTTCCAAAACGCATGACCTTGTTTTCCTCGCGTTCGGGAGATGACTTCGGAGGCGTCCAGTAGTTGCCCAATGAGGATTCCTGGATGTATTTTCCTTCGCTAATGGGCACTCACCTTGGCGCTAGAAACCACCGGTTCGTCTGGTTGCTGCTGCCCTTGCCCTGCTCCCTCCGCCCCCCTTTTCTCTCCAAGTAGGTATTCCTCATCACCTTCAGGTTTTATGGTTGCTTCTTCTTAACTGCCAGTGCCTAACCTGGAGCAGAATCCACGAATGTGATTGATCTACTAGAGAGACTGAAAACCGATTGGTAAGCGAAGACTACTTCACTCTCGACACAGATTTCTGGCTTGTGCAAAACTTTGCGCATGCACGGACAAAACTGGGCGTATGCTCGCCTTCTGCATGTGGTTTCGTCACAGCCGAAATATAGTCCTCTACAGTTGGCTCTTACCTCTACTTCCGAGACGTCTTGCCCACGCCCACAATAGCCAGTGTTCTCATGGCGGGCGATGGGACTTTCCGTCGTTGCGAATCCGGTCAATCCCTGGAAGTGGAGCAAGCCAGATCCTCATAACATCTTCCGAACTATTACAGCAGCCTGCCCGCCGGTGGAGCGCCAGAATGGACTTTGGCAGGTCTGGACAATTTGTAGGGTCGGACCCGATGCCTTCGATGGATGCCTTGATCACCGAGATGTTGGCATTTAACTGACAGGGCGTGCCAAAGCGCGAACGAAGCTGAGTATGCAGTTGCTTAACAGCACCTTTCAACTGATTTATCAGTATCACCCAATCAGTTCAAACTCGATAGACTGCACTACACCTAGCATTCAATCGGTGGAGTCTCTGCCCAATGCTGATGCCCGAACAAGAAAGCCAGACTTGGTTGTACGGATCCAACTTAGGACGTCGCACATGGCACTTTCGATGGAAGCGTATCGGATGGAGTTGTACACTGACAGACCTGACGTTCATGCTAAAGCGCACTAGTTCCCGTGACGTAACCAAACATATGACAGCATACTCATTCGCTGATCCAACACACGAGCGTGATTGACGATGGTGATACGAGCGAGAAAACTATTCCGGAGTCACACAACAGACGGTAGTGTTATAAAGTGAAGTCCCGAGCACCACGTGTATCTTTTGCAGACTTGCAACGAAGCTATAGATTTGGTGGATGACTGAGTTCATTGTGATGAAACCATCGAAGATTGACGCTAGATCTGCACGTCAAATCGAGCCAGACTACAAAGCTTGGCGTTCGTTCGAACAAGGGTCCTTACCACCCATGCGAGTCCAGCACAGGCAACGACCTTCGGTACCATAGAGAGACGTCTTCGGTATAATACGGCAAACTGTCCTAGATGCGCTTTACGATCACACCGAACCGATGGGGCGCTCGCGAACACGAGCTGAGGTGTTGTCACTGTGCCTAAAGCCTAACGATTGGAAAACCGAAGATCATCGCGCTTCCTGTGGTATTCTCTTTCCCTTTTCGCCGAAGTGTACTGAGCTTGACCGAAAGACACGTCTCGGATGCACTCGATCATCGGAATGACTGGGGCGAGTCTTCAGCTCCCAAAGGAGACACTTCACAAGGGTGGGACTTGCGAGGCGGACTGTGTATACCCCGACATGCCCGCGAGCAGAATTCTCAGAGCACTGACAAACCAGCTATGCCGTGGATTTGTGCCACGCCAAGAATTTGCCAGTATATATTGGAGTAGTCGAATCCGAAGATGAAACCGTGTCTTGATACCATTGTGGTACCCTCAGCCGCTACCAGTGTGTTTCCACCGAAGACAAACAATCGCCGTTTTCCTTAATGTTGACAACAAAACGCAACGCGGGACCGCTGAAATCCTAGATGACATGATGCTGATGACACCGAACTTAGAATCCAATTCTCTTTCTTGTTGTGGGAGGACGATTTTCGAGAGACTTGTCGCGATAAAGTCGAGGTCAGGAGGCGATTCTGTTTCTCGGCAGGTACGATTCTTACTGATTCCTCGTCATCAGTATGCAGGTCTGCGAAAGAAAAAGCATTTAATGTGACGCCTGTTACATAATTGTCAGTTCATAGCTTCCATAGAAGCAAGCTCTTCTGCCAGGCCGTGAAGCATTCCCACAGTCAAACGGGGGCTAATACAATAGCCACAAAAGCTGGTGGCGGCTGCTCGCCGACTGGAGCCAGGCTGCTGCATCGCGAAAACTTCCCACTTTGATACATGATATTGTAGGTATAAAGGATCAGCTTTGAAAAGACCAGACAGTCTTGGGGAGGAAAAAAGAAGAGAGGGAAGGTCAGTGATCCGGTTGACGTATAGTCACGGCACCAGATGTTCTAGCGTGCACTACAAAAGCGATGTTTCCCCGAATGGCGGCGGAGACGAGAGGGAGCGAGGATTGGCTGGGGGATTTCTCCGCGAGCACAGTACCAAAGATCCCCCCAAACCAACTAACAGGCCTAACCTTGACATTGCTCTGTGTTGCGGGTAGCTTTATTCCATGGTTCTTGACTGGCCCGCTCGGCGAAATGTGCCTGCGGATAACAAAGTCGCCCGCAAAATGGTCACATATGGTGCTGGTCTGATGGGGTACCATCGAGAGAGCAACCGTGCCCGGTCAGGACAGCGCAATGATGATCCTTTCTGGGCTTTGCCTCTGCAATACCGTCCTATGGCTCCAGGGCCTGTGATCGATCTGCTGAACACCCTAATGAAGGACTGACTCTTGGCCAATAGTTAATCCCTGTTCGCGTGGCTTATGGACGCTTCCCCCTTCCCAACCCGACAGCTGTCTCTTCCTAGCCTCAGCTATTTCCTCAATAATTCCACCATTAAGCGGAAGAATCTTGTTGGGTCATTGGGCGGCAACACCCAAGTGCGTGGTCAACCACTGCATCAACAGCCTGGGCATAGCTTGCATCCACTGGTAACTCGGCTAAGCTCTTGGAATCAAGAGGTACCCATATTACGGAGTACACCTGTCACCAGATCGACGGATTTCCTTGTCTTGTGGGGCACTGTTCAGCCTGGACCTTCCTCGATATCAGTCGCCACTTCCCTTCTTTAATCTGATCCTTATCGTTCCTGCAATATTATAATATACACTCCACCGCCAAGCAAGCTTCTTGTCGAAAAACAAACGAGGGGCATCTCCACAGGTTAGAATTCGAGACTCCCGCCTCTGCGGACAACAGGATGAGACAAGAAAACACTGGCTCGTCATTAAACGGCGATCCCAGGTAGGTACCTTACTGTTAAGAACTTTGTTTATTTCGCCCGTATCCTCTTGACAGTATCGGTTGACTGTTTATTGCCGTTAGTCGTCACAACCAGAGCAGTCAAAGCACGCGTCTCGAGCCTCCAGACAACTCTTCTCAAACATCTGACCGACTCGCCGAGGAACTGGTTTATTACCGAAGCTTTCTCGAACAGCTTCTAGGAGTAGTCCGCAATGGAGATCAGGATACTGTCAACCAGATGGTTTCCATGATACGTTCGGATGCATCCCACCAGCAAATTCTGGCAGCCTTATCTGAGAACTCCGCCAACGGCGGCCAGACTGCCCAAGGGGCCCGTGGTCGGAATAATCACAATTCAAACTGAATATCTTCAACCCTGTTATGCCTCGCATACCCAGCAGGTTGTCCGCATGACGCATGATCGTTTGATAAGGTCTTCACAAGGTGTCCTGGTCCCCTTTGAACGCAGATGAAGGAGGTGGGATACAGCTAGACGAGTTATTCGTATATCTTTCTGTCTAGTATCATATTAGTCGGGTCTTTCAAGTCAAGGAAAGTCTACCTATCTATCGTCTCACATATCCTACCAGAGAGAGCCGCCACCGGCAGCTTAGATGGCCGCCGTGTGCTGAGAGAACGCTGTGTACGATCCTTAAGACCAGCGAATGTCTCGCACCAGGTACTGTGTTGCGATCGGGCTCTGGTTGCACCAGCCTATCTCAATTAGCATACTGTATTCCTAGTGGGGCCATGGTAACCGTCCCTATGGACATAGTTTGCTTTTTCAATGGAGGCTGGCCTTGGACGCACCATTATCCATATCTGCCCTCTACACTTTTGGCTTAACACAGCGATGTGCTCGTCGTGACTCTGAATGCCCACTCTGGTGACATAGAGTGCCCAGCGAGCATAATCGGCTTGGCTGCTTCCTGCAGGGAAGCTGCATGAGATTCCATCTAATAACCCCGAAACGGCATTAATGAAAGCCTTCACTTACCTAAACCAGTTATACATGTTAATCGTCGCACTCAATCACACCCAATTCGAAAGTTGACAACAAGGACTAACGAGTTGAGAAAGTGATCGAGCGATCATCATATGTAGAGAGGCAGTAGTAGTAGTCGCTGCTCGTGATGTCAAATGGAGCTAAACCCCCTTGAGCGTCCAACCAACAACATCCTTGGCTGCAGACTATGGTGGTGCCTTCTCAATACGGGTCTTTCTTGCAGTGTCCCATTACTTAGTATTCCCCCACTTATGACATCGACTTCTTCCCAATGATGTGCTGACTCCCTGGCTACTTACTGCGTTTGTCTACGGATCAATATTATGACGGACTATAGTGCAAAGACGCAGTTTTAGTAATTCTTTACTTTCATCATGACCCACACTGGTCTCACTTCCAGACTCGATAGCTTTCATGTACGTCGACGTCAACGGCTTCTATTTCTTCATTTATAAGAAGCTGGTGCCGAAGCGACCGTATAATGACGGCTACAATATAGTTATAATATGAAATTAAAAAGCAATCAGAATGATACTTTACGATAGGTCCTGTAATGCTACCAGAATTTCATGAAACATGACGATTTGCTTTCATAGTCGATATCAGAGAGTATTACCATGACTACCGATATCACATCTGGGATGAATCGGTGTATCCTGTATCTATAAATCCTGTCTATGACATCAAAGCGCTTAAGGAGTGCAACGGCCCGTGAAACGAGGATACAAGGAGCAGTCGCGAACGGTGTAACGAGCACACAACCAAGCCAGGAAACGTTCGAGACCAAGACCGTAGCCACCGTGAGGGGAGGTACCGTACCTAGATTGTAGATGCATATTAGTTATACGTCTCTTAAAGAGATTACATGACGGGGAAAGGCTCGTGAAGGCTTGACTTACTTGCGCTGGTCAGTGTACCAGTAGTACGGGGAAGGATCCATGCCTTCGTGCTTGTAGGCGGCCATGAGCTCATCCCAGTCGTCCATTCTCATACTACCACCGACGATCTCACCAACACCAGGCATGAGAACGTCCACACTCTCAGTGACACGGCGGTCTTCAACGTCCTTCTTCATGTAGAAGGCCTTGATCTCAGCAGGGAAGTGGGTCAGGAAGATGGGCTGGTTGATAATATCGGTCATCTTTCTCTCAGCAGCCTCGGCAATGTCATCGCCGAACTCGTGAGGCTTGCCCTCCTCGTTGGGGATGTCGTGTTCCCGCAGCCATTCAATGGCATCGGAGTACTTCATCCGCTTGAAGGGGCGGCTAGGGGGCTTGAAGTCGGGGTTGAGTTTCTCGATGAGAGCCTTGGTGGCCGGCTCAGCCAGAGTCAGATCAATAACACGGCAGATGACGTGCTCAAGGTGATCGAGGAGGTCGTTGAAAGTGATGAAGTCAAGCTCTGCCTCGATGTGGGTGTACTCGGACAGATGGCGACGGGTAAGCGACTTCTCAGCGCGGAAAGAAGGGCACACACAGAAGACGTCACCAAGGGAGGGGAGGCAAGTCTCCAGGTAAAGCTGGGAGGACTGGGTCAAATAAGCATTCTCGCCATAGTAGTCGAAACCGAACAAGGTGCTTCCACCCTCCACCTGAGTCTGAACCATGGCAGGAGGGGTGACTTCCAGCATGCGGTTCTCTTCGAAGGTCTGACGGAAAGCCCGGAGGGTAGCCGCGCGAACCTTCATGACTGACGAGGCGGTCTCACCACGGAGGACGAGGTGACGGTTGTCATAGAGGGTTTGGGGATCAGCATCAGGTGCAACTCTAGTGGTGATAGCCTCCTTGTCACCAGCAGCGCGGCCAATGATAGTGTAGAAATCGGCGTGCAGCTCACGGTTGTTGGGAGCATGTTGCTTAGGGGGGACGGCACGCATCTCACCATGGATAGCAATAGAGGTCTCAAGGGTAAGAGTCATGGCATCGTAAGTCTTACACAGGTTGCCCGTCAGGACGCACTGCAGGTAGCCATAGCCATCGGTCAGAGTGAGGAAGATAACGTCCTTCTGAGCACGCAGACGGTGAACTCTTCCAACCACACGAACACGAGTTCCAGGAGTCTCAGACTCGGGAGATCCCAGCTTGACAACGGCCGGATCAGTCACATCAAGACGGATCTTGGTGGGCTTGGGAAGTGATGTGTCCTCCGTAAGAACGACCTTCTTTGCCTCCTCAAGGATAGCCTGTCGCTTCTCAGCCTCCTGCTTCTCACGGATAGCCAATTCTTGTTCCTTCGCAGCCTTTCTCTTCCGTTGCTCATACAGGTTGGTGGCCTTCTTGACCGCCGACTTCGTGGCCGGCTTCCACTCCAATTTAGACGCGGGGTCGGCACCTGCCTCCGTGGGCTCAGTCTGGGACTTGCGGGTCAAGTACTGGTTGCCATCGGTAGGAGCGTGCTGCAAGAAAGCATGAAGGAGAGTCTTGTAGGGGGCAGATTCGGTTCCGTTGGCGGTCGAGTCGTCCCTGCCGACATCTTCGTCAATGTAGATAGAAGCCATTTTGGTGCTTCAGGTGTAGGGATCTGGCCAGCGCGAGTGAATTGGGGGGGTATGAGCTGGGCTCTGGCGGAGATGTCAGTCAAAATGTGTTGCGGAGACGCATGTGAGTCACCACGAGAGTCTTCTTATCGGGCGCTCATAGGCATTGAGTGATGAGACAAAATGACAGAAAGCACTCACATGTAGACCAGCACTCTGACCAGGAAGGCGACTATGCAGCAAATCCCGCGGGAATGGAGGCCAAGATGTTCAACTCGCACAGTGTGGAAGTGAACAGTGGAGGGGTAAATTTTTGGATCCCCGATATCCCCACGTATTATTCAGGCATCAATAAGGCATACACTCTGCCGCACAGCACGGATACTACCTTATCTAACCACTTGGAGACCCGGGATAATCTTACGTCCGGACGATGTAGTAGCCATTATGCACCGGATCTATTAATCATGAGCAAAATCGAGGGTTTTATGCTTGGGATGAAGTAGTCCTAAGAAGAAGACACATCGAACGATGTCTAAGATAAGGCCCCTCACGCCGATAGAGACAGGAAGCGCTACCGTTTTAAATATCTCAATTGCCATGTCATATCTTTTAAAGCTGTTTCTTGTCTTCTCAACCAGCAATCCTATGGGTATTAACTCTGTACGGATTAGTGAAAGGGTTATAACTGTACGAAGTATGGTACTGGCCATTTGCAAAAATGCCCGCCATGGAAGGTAGGCCTAAGGCGCCAAGACCCTATTGTTCTGCAGCCGGATCGGATCAACACATAGTCCGTCAGGACCAAGAGCCGCTGACCAGGACACCCCACCAACACAGATCGTTCGTAGACGCTGTGGCTGGTTGAAAGTCTCCTGTTAGCCCCGAATTCTGGCACTTCCGCGGATTGATCAATCATTTATGATCAGAATGACCGATCGCAATGTGGGAAAAGCAAAGACCCAACTGATGCATCTCAGGGGATGGCATAACTCCTGGAGGCGCTGATACCGCTGCTGCAGGGCGATAGAACGAATTATAGATTTCTCAGCATCTGCCTTGGCCGAAATTACGCTGTCTCCGAAACTTGTTAGTCGGCCATCGTCTGAACACGAACCAGGAGCGGTTGCTTTGGGCAGGCTACTTGATACCACCCATTCTGAGATCGATTGATAGCAGATCAAAGCGCTTCAATCAGCGTGGAAGCGCAGCATGCTTCAGAGTGGGAAAGCCGCTGCTTAGTGCTGCTCATGCGACGGATGACAGATGGTTGGATGGAGACCATTTCCCCATCTTTTGCCTCAAAAGTATGGATCTGCTAAAACCTTTCACTCCACAAGAATTGATTACGCTATTACTATAATTATCCATTGGGACTTTTCCCGCAGTCACAATGATGGTTCAAGTTCACCATGGAGCATTGACTGGTTGAGGAATCCCTCTGCCGCAAATCCCCTTTTTTACCCACCTGCTTTTCCTCCCCCTTTGATACATCGATTACATACTTGCTGCTCTGTCTCGGCCCATTCCTTGCTTACCTGACCCTGTACCAGTCTGTCTCTTTTTGGCTAGTTCCTCGCGTTCTTTACTATCTGGGATTGTTGGTTCTCCCACAACAGTTCCCTTGGTTCGATTGTGATTTTGTTTTAATTACTTGAGTTGTTGATGATAATATTCTGATAAGCTTTCATTTGTTTGATTACTGTTTACTTGCATTTCTATAAGATAGTTTGGGAAACGCAAGAGGAGAAGAATCGGAGGGTGTTGTTCTTGTTCTGTCCTCGCGGATATCATTCATTCATTATTATCTTTATTTTCTCCTCACTATTTATCGCGCCTGTGTCCCTCAAACACGCGCCCCCCTTTTTCCCCTACCAGGGGCCCTCTTTTTCCCTCACCCTTCTTTTCCGCTTAACTTGTACTGGCGGCTGTAACCTTTTAGTTTAATTGTTCTTTGCAATTACTTTCTCTCTTTCCCTTTGCTTTCCTTTTACTCTTCGTCTACTGTTACCACTTATCCCTTTTCAGTTTGACTGTCGGCGGCCTTTGGATACCTTCTTTGTCAACATTTGGGTCCGCTACAACCTGGCACTCTGGCAGGTCTGGGGCGTTCTCCCTCTCCAGTACTCCGTACTCTCATTTGACAGGGCCACCTTTATTTTATCATTATTTTTATCTTTTATCTTTGTCCTCTCATTCTAATCTCGGTTGGATCTCAGTCGGAGCACAACATCACTCTTGCTTTAGTCTCTCGGCCTCCTCACCCGCAAAGCCCCCCTAAAGCAACCAAACCAGCGCAGGTTTGTCTCCGTTTCCACCAACTCAACCACTCATTGCCCATGCACATTCCAATTGACTAGCGGGATCCCTTCTAGACACGTCTTTATTGGCAGTCTTTCTGCTCCGTGCTCTTTGCCGTCCTTTCTGCTCTTCTTTCTCAGTTTGGTTACCCTCATTCTGGCCTCTCCAGGTCTCTGTTTTCTTCCTTATTTTCCCCCTTCTCTTTTCGGGGGTGATCATCGGGCCCGGCCTTTTTTCCCTCTCTCCTGGCCATTCCTACCGTATTGATTGCCTAGTACGTCCTCTCCCCCTTGACTAAGTGATATCGTTAATTTCCATCGACCACGAACTCACCTTATTCCGTTTTCCTTTATCAGGGGGACAATTGTGTCCTACTCGCTCCCTTCCCTCGCCATGCAAACCTCCGATGCAAGCATTCCGAGTCGTCTGATCCCTTCCAAGTTTTCCCACCTCAACGCGGACAGCACCGGCTTCTCTCACGGAGCATACGCCTCCAACAACATTCCCCTGCAGGGCCTAACGGACCGGAACGCTCGTCGAGCCAATATCCCTGCGATTAATACCTCTGCTCCCGTCTCGGACAACATGGCCGCCTCTGGCGCCGCGTTTGACATGAACTTCACTCCCCTGCTACCTTCTCAGCTGCTGCTTGGTAGCCCCTTTCAGCCGGGTACTCCTTCTGCATTCGCCTCGCCTCAATTCGCCAATTTCGGCGGCTTTCCTCAGACGAATGCCTCATCACATGCCCAGAATCATCAGAGTCACCATCAGCTCGGAAGTCCAACCCAGCCCTCGCAGAATGCTGGCCTATATTCTAGTATGATGTCGACGGATGGTATAGGTAATTCTCAAATGCTGGGAGCTCCTCAGTCTCCTGTTGGTGGGATGGGGCCGCTGGGCAACGCAGGATACGGAAGTCCCGCTGCCTCGGTGACCCCTGGCTTGCTTTCGGGTACGAGCCGAACCGTATACCTAGGCAACATCCCGGCAGAAACCTCCGCAGAAGAGATCTTGAACCATGTTCGAAGCGGTCAAATCGAGTCGGTTCGTTTGCTTCCTGACAAGAACTGTGCTTTCATCTCCTTCCTGGACAGCAACTCCGCAACCCACTTTCACTCGGATGCAATCTTGAAGAAGCTTGCCATCAAGGGGAATGACATCAAGGTGGGTTGGGGCAAACCCTCTCAGGTGCCTACTTCGGTCGCTTTGGCTGTGCAGCAGTCCGGCGCATCGCGGAACGTATACCTGGGCAACCTGTCGGAGGACATGACAGAAGAGGAACTGCGGGAGGAGCTAGGAAAATTCGGGCCTATCGATACCGTCAAGATCGTCAAGGAGAAGGCGATTGGATTCGTCCACTTCTTGTCCATCAGCAACGCGATGAAGGCTGTTTCTCAACTTCCTCAGGAGGCTAAGTGGCAGGCACCCAGGCGCGTATTCTACGGCAAAGATCGGTGCGCTTATGTCTCCAAAACACAGCAGCAAAATGCAGCTCAGTTCCTGGGTATTGCCCCTGGTTATGCACACATCCTCAATTCGGCGGACCGTGATTTGATCACCAACGCACTCGCTCAGCAATCTGTGGCCGCCGCAGCTGTGGCCACCACAGCCGGCGGAGTCAACAACTTGGGCAACCGGACCATCTATTTGGGCAACATTCACCCCGAAACGACTATCGAGGAGATTTGCAACGTTGTACGTGGTGGTTTGCTGCATCATATTCGCTACATTCCCGATAAGCATATCTGCTTTGTCACTTTCATTGATCCTACGTCAGCTGCATCATTCTACGCCCTGAGCAACCTGCAGGGCCTCATGATTCATAACCGTCGTCTGAAGATTGGCTGGGGTAAGCATTCCGGTCCTCTTCCGCCCGCTATCGCCCTGGCCGTGAGTGGCGGTGCTTCTCGTAATGTCTATGTCGGTAATCTTGATGAGACCTGGTCGGAGGAGCGCCTTCGCCAAGATTTCTCCGAATATGGAGAGATCGAGCTCGTCAACACGCTTCGTGAAAAGAGCTGCGCATTTGTCAATTTCACCAACATCGCCAATGCCATCAAGGCGATTGAAGGGATGCGGAACCGCGACGAATACAAGCGATTCAAGATCAACTTTGGGAAGGATCGCTGCGGAAACCCCCCGCGTCAAGCTGGTAATGGAGGTCCGCAGGGTCGTAATGGGTCCGGGTTTGAGGGACCTCAGTCACCTTCTCCAGCCTTGAATGGCTTCCAGCAGAACCTAAGCCAATCCGGCTCGGGCTCTAGCCCGACTCATCCTGCGCTGTCTCCTGCTCCAGGGTCTACGGGTTCTCAGAATGGTCAGCATCACAGGCATCCCCTGCAGACCGTCTCATCCCCGTCTGGCATTCTGAATGTCGGTGCAAACAATCCTTTGACGATGTACCTCAACCAAATGTCCGCCCAGCAAGCTCAGGAGCAGGAAAACCGGCTGAATGACCCCATGACCTTAGCTGGTCTCCAGTCCCAGCCTCAACCGCCACAACAGCAGTCGCTCTACAATGGCGCGAGCACTGGTGAGCTTTCCAACGGCAGCATCGAGGCCCCGTTGCACCAACACAAGCCGTCGACCAACGGATTCTTGAATGTAACCAACGGCTCTACGGGCCCCGGCCACCATGCTACCGCTAGCACCAGCAGCCTGAATGTGCCACGGGCGCAACATTCCCGGGCTGTGAGTTTGCCTTCGTTTTCTCAGGAGCCTTTCGGGTCTGTTTCGAGCCAGCCTCCCCGTTCCGGAATTGCTCATCAGCCGCAAAGCAGCTTTTCAAGCTTCACCTCTGCTCTAGGCGGTCTCAGCCATGCCGGCTTCGGATTGGCCATCCAGAACGAGAGTTCGCTGCCCGGCTGGGCTGAGGAGGAGATTGGAGCCAAATAATTGCACCCTGCCGCTGCAAGGGTGATGCCCGCTATTCCACTTGATGAGCATAGCCATTCTTCTTCTGCATTCTGTTCCATCTATATTGCTTTGCCACTTGGCTAATTCCTTCGATGTCTCCATTCCGATTTCTTTCATTGTATTGGTTTCATTTCACTTCACTTTGGTTTTTCTCTCTTTCTTTTAATTGTGCAAATTTCCTTTCTCCGGCAACCCCCTCTTACCGATTTTAATATTCCTTTATTCCTATACCATCCTATGTATTGCTAGCTGGGCATGATCTTCTTCATCTTCTTTTGCCTTTCTTTCTTGTCATTTCCATACTTTGATTCTGCTTTTTTTTTTTGGCCATTTTGCCGTTTCTGATCTCCAGTTGGCTACGAAGGCGGGTGAGATCGCAGCCAGATCCTAAACCGGTTTCGGTGGGGTCTGTTGATGTCTCAGGCTGCTTATTTGCATATGTGATGCCATTCAACGGAACTAATCCCGAGCATAGAGCTCCCCTGTTGCATTTTGATTACGACAAGGGTTTATATAGCGGCGGAGGTAATTGATCCAGGATGATAATAGTGGATCCGCCAGCAAGGAACATAAGAAAGACGAGAAGAAGAGTGCTCAGTGCATAAGAAATGACAGACATGTGGTCACAATATCAAAATACTCCCAATAGAACTGTAGTACTAGATTGTACGGAGTAGCAGCTACCGCATTGGGTAATGCGTCAACACTGCGATCACGTGAGCATATACCCGCTCGGTCGCGCTAGGCCGGATGAAGATGTACCATGGAACCAAACGAAGCCGCTGCGATCACCATCATTTCATTTCACCACCACCTCGAGGTCCTTCATCACCACCGTTCTTTGACGACACGGTAAAGGCCGCTTCACACCTCTATTGAAGCACAATGTCTTTGCCTCCAGAACAAATTAATATCAAGCGTCGCAGAGAAGAGGAGCCGGTCGAGACTTTATGTAAGACTCCCTTGATTCGTTGCATGAGCGGCCCTTCTTTTAGTGACGAAGCCCCTCAACTGCAGAATATCACTAGCAGTTCCCGTCTGCCTTTGATCATTTTACCAAGTTGCCAACGCTAATGCAATTTCCAGACATTCAGTCAGAGCTGCATCAGACTAAGCGTCGATTCACGGACTTTGTTTTTCAAAGAGTTCAGATCAGTGGCAATAGCCATGAAGACAGCTCGTCTAGCCCCTCTTCTTTCTCAGCAGCGCGGAGAATAGTGCTTACTCCGCGGTCGGTGAGCAACACCGTCTATCCAACTACTGGGGGCGTGACCAACCGCGTTGCTGGTGCAGGAGCAACTGTCCCCTTGGTAAGAGCCACGTCTCCTGGGGCAGAGTTCCGCGAGGAACGTCGCCTGGCGAACGCTCGGAAAGAAAATGAGGAGAAATTGAGAAAAGCCTTGCTTTCAACGCCTACAGAAAGCCAGCCGGGAACCCCATCTGCTGTTCCAGCTTCTAGTGGAATCGATGCCGCTAGAAAGGTAGCGTCATCTGCATCCAGTGAGAGAGGAAGCCTGGCTTCCTCGCCGGGACGGACGCAATCTCTACGCCGGTTCCAGATATCTAGATCCACTACGCCAATGAGCCCGCTCCGTAGCACAGGCGGTGGTGTCCAGAAACGCAAAGATGGCGCGGTCGCGGTGCTCGTAGAGAAACTGAGGCGCACGCCGCATTCGAGACAAGCGTCGATGGTTGCTGATGCTGCTGCTCAGGTGGATGAACAGGCAAGCATGACGGTTGCGGGCGCTCTGGCATCCGAGCCCGAACGGCCGAGGAAGCGGCCGGTGGTGAACCAGGCGGAGAAGAAATGGAGAGAGGAGCGTAAGAGCGCGATCTCGGCTGCGAAGCAGCATATCTCACAGGTGCTGGACAGAGAAGCTGAGGCGGCCCATCAGAGTAATTGGGAGAATGAGTCGGAACGATTGGCAAGGGAACTGGAGAAAGTGGCTCTGGAGCTGGACTCAGAAATGGATGTGACGGCCACCGAAACAGACTACACGCAGCGATCGGGGTCGCAGTTTTCGAGACCGTCTCGACCTCATTCGGTGATGCCCAAGCCTCCGTTGAAATTCCAACCGCGCACGCCCAATAAGCATCGTGCGGGAGCCTCGGACGCACAAGTGATGCAAGGGCCAGTTGAGAAAGTTGAAGAGGCGGCGAACACTCTGTCCGCGGGGCCTGAAGAGGACGAGAGCGACGGGGAGTACGTCTACGACACGTACATACGGAAGCCACTTCCAGACACTGGACTGCTTACGGACCCATTAGTTGGTTTGGATGCGGACCAAGAGGCTTGGTTGCGGCAGCATGGCATTGATGCGAATCGCCAAGACATTGGAGTTATCGTCATCACGCAGGAGGATGAGGAGTACTGGGAGAACTTTGTCGAAGACGATGAGGACGAGGAACGGTGGGATAGCGAGGATGCAGATTCGAACGGTAAGCAGTCGATCGCAATTTTGGCAGGACCTTCTGCAGACAAGGCTAACACCACGGGTGATCCCGGGCAGCTGAAAATAATCCCGCAAATGACTATCCAGATGAGGAATTGTCGTGGGATGATGAAGAGGATGATCCAACGGCTATCTACAACAAATACCGGACGTACGCTCGGTCTGATGACGAGGAGTTCGACTTTGACGACTCAGCCAGTGAGGGGCGCCATCGTAGTGGATTCGGGTTTCGGTCGCACGTGGATTCAGACGACGAGAGCTGGTGATCGGAGGGATTACGGTGACACACACGCACACAGAGGGAGACACGCACAAGCCATCAATCAGGAAGCAAGTGAGCAGGGAATGGGGGCATGGCTGACCGAACAACGAGGCAGCGAGACTAGCTCGGGTGGCTGCGTCTGCAGAACTCACGCCTTGTTTGGGTTGAGGAATTCATCGTATGTATGGTACTTTAAAGCCATGTTTATTGCTGGCAATCGACGAGGACGACGAGCTCCTCGATGAGGCTGGGCTCGAATCGACTCGACCCGACTGACCTCTTTTGCCGTCCATGAAGTCATCGACGTAGGGCCCTGATTCACCGCAAGATCAGCAGCCGTCATAATCTGCATCCGCATTGCTGCTGCAGGATGAGCTGGGCCGCGACGACAGGACTAGGCCGTAAGCCAAGTCGACCGATGTCTCCGGCCAGTAAGGACCGTTTCAGAATTGCAGTGGTGTATTCTTCCTTCCTTCTTTCCTTTCCCTTTCCTTCCCTTCCTCCGGGGAGAAAAATGATCGATCCTTCAGCATCTCGGCTTCCCTTTTCCCCCCTCCCATTCCCAACGAAGTAAGAACCACGAGAGCAGCAGATTAAGCTGATCTCACCACCACCACCCCTCCTCCTTCAGTTTTACTACTTCTAAACCCCCCCACGACCCTTAACACACAGACTCCAAAATAAGATTCTAACGGACCGAAGTAATGCGGGGTCCAAATCCTTCAAACAATCCTCAAGCCGATATCATTCGCCCTGTCATCCGATAATACGATAGATAGAACCTTCTAACTTTTCTCTGAACAATCGTATTATACGGAGTACTAGTCATGCTCATCTTTCGGGATTGAAATTAGAAGCGAAGAAGAATAGAAGAAAAATAAATTAAAATAATTAATAATATCACGAAAAAACTAAAAATAAGAAAAAAAGAAACGTTGAAAAACCTAGTAAGACATACATGCACAACCAAAACAAGCCAACCACTCATCCACGCCCAACACCTCCATCTTGTCCAACCCACCTGATCGATTCCTCTTTTCCCTCCCTCCTTTATACAGCTGTAAGCATGTAAGTGGGTATGTACGTATGTATGTATATACGTATGATGTATTGTATGTACTATTCTACATGCCGAGAATTCCATCCATGGCCTGTGCATCCACATGATGCAGTAAGTAATCTTCATTATCTGCAACGAAATCCTTCCATCCACCCCACCCATCCGCCTAAATGAATAACCATTTGTAGGTTTTATGTATGTACGTGAGTGATAGGTTAAGTTAGACCAGGTCAGGTTACACCTCTCTTTTCCATTTCCTATTCCTATTTTCTTTCCTGCTTTACTTTTGGGTTTGACTTTCATGTACGTTCGGGATCTGAAAAAAATCCTTCGATCAGCATGAATTCGTCTGCAGACTAGACTAGAATTTTCTTTCCCACGCGTCTTCTTTTCGTCGACCTGGGTCTACCTGTCATGTCTCGGATTGTAAGTAAGTAAGTATTCTGGGTTGGTGAGGTGAGGGTATCGGCGATTCGTTGGTTCCATTTCTTTCTTTTCTTTCTTTCTTTGGATTCTATTTTCTCGTATTGTCTAGATGAGGGTGTGTGTATGTATACTATGCTTGGAGTATTAGTATTACGGTGTATAATATCGAGTACAGATAGGAAGAATCGGACTTGGCTGGTTAGTACGTGGGATATGTATACATAACATCCTATAAGTTAGACATTAAGTATACTATTGTCATGAGATAAACATGTGAATGCTATCTATCTAGCTATCATCCTAGTTCTGTCAACCCATATAAGATCAACCATATAAGCGAGGATAGTAGACCTATAGTGAAACCCCCACTATGTGGCTATGGTGGAGACCAAAGCTCCTCTGTTATTTTTGACTATAGATTGGGTAGCTTGGGGTTGTAGTGATGCTAGTCATACTAATTATTGTAGTGCATATATTACTATAATACACTCGGATATTAATATTAAATGGTACTTATTTGTCTATACTCGCATACGTAGGTAGAGGGTAAAGTATTCCTACCACAATGGCTTAATGCGCTATTTAAAGATAATCTCAACTACTACCATATCACTTGTACGTATGACAGATTGTCAAGTGCCCAGCCAGGTACAGAGGAAATAAGTAGATAAGTCAGATAGACACTCTGTCAGTCTCCAACTTGTGTATTATTCCGTCTCCCAATCTCACTGATATATTCATCAAGGTATACTCAGGTATAGCACTATACTTATTTCGCTACACTGATAGTCAGCATTTGAATCAATACTTCAAAGCATTTACACCCACATCTCCCCCACAAAACCTCTCTCAGGCAAAAGTAGATATATGGTTCTACTCTTGTAAACAAATGATGGTTCAAACTCTGTCACTTCAGTGGAATATGGAGTATGGAATCAACACACTACAACTAATCTCTTCTAGTTGCAGCATACTTCACTATCTGTAACCACAATACACACTATACATAAAATACCGTATCTAACACACTCACCCCCGTATCCATACGTACCACTCACTACCTCTCGGCCATCGGACATAAGTGCCAAAAGAGTCTATGACAACAGAGTGGGCAGGCTTCCTTACAGTATGGCCTGATTCGCGGTTGGGAAATCCCATGGTGTGATTATTCGCGCATTCATTCATGCGTTCCTCTACGCTTGTTCCTTACAACACAGATTGATAGAAAGAATAATTCGGTTATATTGATGATTGTCCATAGTCCCAGTAGTTGTTGTTTCCGTAGCCAACCCTTTCAAAGGTGTTAAAAAACAAAAAAGTGATGAGAACCAACCCACCCTTAGCCATGTGTGTAAGATGCATGTATGCAAGCAAAGATCAGATAGCCTCCCAAGTAGTAGTAGTAATAGTAACATAACATGCTGAATTGTGCCGACGTAAAGAGCGAAATGAAATTTGACAAAAGAAATAAAGAGAAATGAGGATAGAAAGAGGATAGGCCAGGAGAAGAAGGGGGAAATCGAGGAATTAAACAGAGAGGTATCTTCAGACGGCCGTGAGTTGTATCAGAGAATTTCCAGACAAAATAATAGAAAAATAAAGACAATTTTCAAAGACATCAAAATTGTCGAGTCGGATGGTCATTAGGAAAGAGTGAGGAAGTGGAGGTGTGTGAAGGAGGGTCTTTTTTCCCCTCGTCTTTTTTTTTATTTTCTCCTTCACCTGGGTATGCGTCTTCTGAGAACTTCCTCTTTCGACTCACGCATCCATGGATACCATATCCCCACCCAGTCAACCACACCGAATCGCGGGGCCCCCGATTCAGCGGCAAGACCCGCTCCCTCACGAAGAAAGTCACCGTCACGGAGACGCCGTTGCTCTCGCAAGGTTGGGCACTTCTTTTCTTTGATGAAGCGATAGAATTTGCATTGGATGCCCTGGAAGCCCCGGCGCTGCCGGCTAGAGAATTGTTGGTTGAAGCTTTCACGTACTTCTTTCCACTCTTGGCAGAGGTCCACGCGGTGGTACCAGATGAAGTACATTTCCTCTTCCTCGTACTTCGGTCGAGGAGGTCGACGTCGCTCTGGAGCATTGCTGGAGCTGCTGGAAACCGAGTCATATCGCTCTCGCGAGTATGCGTCAGGCGATGACTCGGCCGATCGAGGTCGATAAGGAAGAAATGCTGCGTCCTGGGATGATGCAGAACTCTCTGCGTAGGGGTGGTGGCCATCTGAGTAGGGGGAATAAAAGTATTGGTTGGGACTGGGAGGATATAGAGGCGACAGTTGTGGTCCTGGGTGGCTGTAATGCATCCGAGAGCTTGTACTTTCTCTCTCTGATGATGGATTCAATAGAGAATCAATGGCCATGCGGCTTTGACGAGAAGCCGGCATGTAGTTTGCCTGTGGCCGCTCGTGAAGAGTCTCCATGGTAAATGTGTAATAACAGCGATGATAAAATAGACGCTTTAGTGGTGTTTTGTTTTTTTTTTTTTTTTTTTTTTTTTTTTTTTTTTTCTCCTTGGGAAGAGAAGATGATGTTTTAGTGGTAAGAGGGTGGAGGAAGTAGTGCGGAGACAAAAATAGTTGTTCCAGTGAAGGGAAGGAACAACCGCCAAAGGAGACCAAGTATATTTGACGAAGATGCAAGTAACGATGACTTCTCGCCCACAGTGAATCTGTTGGACTAACCAGAGGAGGCCAGCACCAAAGGGGGGTGGGTGGGGAGGAGTTTAAAAGAAATAAGAAATTTGAAAAATAGTAAGAGATTAAGAAGAAAAAAGGGAAGGAGTAGAAATTAAAAAAAAAAAAAACAAATCAAAAAATGTGACAGATGTTGGGTGTGTCTCTTTCAGCAAAGGCCGAAGGCGCTTCTACACAGTTGCACTACCTTACAACTGGTGTGTGCTTTGGTGAAAGAGAAAGGGAGCAAGAGGAGGACGAGGAGGGAAAAAAACAAAAAATCTTGGGAGAGACAGAGGAAGTGACGTGGATAGGGTAGAAGGAGGAATGAGAAGCTTTGTTGAACCGATTAATTTCCCAGGACAAGCCAGTCCTTAAAGCATCGCCAACGCCGCACGAGACTCCCGGTTGGACTTTTAGTGAGGGCAATGGTGGCCAAGGGTCCCTGTTAGTTCTTCTTAACCCATGCAGCGTACCAAACCTCTGGGACTGCCTGGCCTGTAATAGAGGCCGAAGTGACTGCGCCCCCTGTCCGGTCGTGGGGAGAGTCACTCCTACGGCGGGTACACGACGGTGACCGTCGTGATGTGTAGCGCCTGCGCCAGCAGGGAGCTGCGAGGGTAGTATATTGGTTGGAAATGAGGAGAAAGCCTTGTAGGAGGGGAGGGTTGTTCGTCCACTGGTGGCAGTGGTGGTAGTAGTCTCCTGTTGTTGTTGCTGGGGTTTATTCTCGCGTCTGTTCCTTCAACCCTAGTCCATCTGCAAGCATGTCCTCACTCGCGATGGCTGTAAAATAATATACCGGTATTTATTTCGGCCGGTGATCCAGATGAACAAAATAGATAGCAGTGAATAGTAATAAGATAGGAACCAAAATAGAAAAGATTCAAAAAACAATAGCAGCAACCAGGCCTTATATGCAAGGATATAGTATCGTCTGGAAACCCGTCAAGCACCAGAAGGATTCGCCACTTATTTTCAACGCCAGATGGATCCTCAGCATTCAGAATGATGAACTGCAGGAGAGGATGAGCGAGGATAAAAAGAAAACGATTGGATGAAAGAATGGCATCCGATGGATTGGATGGTTCAACAAGTGGAGATCGCGACAGGGTCACGTTGGCAGACCGACGACGTGCAGGGCCAGACTGGACGCTTGAGGGAGGTTAGTTTAGAGAGGGTCACCGTTGGATCGGGTAATTCATCGGGGCTTGCTGTAATTTATGATCTGGTTCGGATTTTCCTATGATTTTCCTTATTTTTATTCGGGCTTCTTATTTTCTTTTTTTTATTTTTATTTTTATTTCCTTCCATTTTTTTTTTAAATTCTCTGGTTTTATTTTTATCTATTTCTTCCTGATGTAGTTTTCATTCCTGGTTTATTTCGAATCTAGGTTCCAACTCCACTCTCTTTCTCCTTCGTCTTTTTCTTTACCCCTCAGATTCCGGCTTGGCCAGTTCGTGCACTGTGCAGATTAGATATCAGAAAAGTCAATGTGGAATGAGGCCGTAATGAAGAATCCACAATCAAGCGAAAGCGTAAATAAGAGTTTTTTTCTTCTCTGAAAAAGAAAAAAGAAAAAAAAAGTGTGACGAAGGGAAAAGTGACGGAAGGAAGGAAGGGCCAAGGGAACAGGAATCGATCCTGATAAAACTGCCTAAAATAAAACCACCCCCAAGATTAGGTTCTCAAAGAACAAAGACGAAGAACGAGGAGTAAGAGTGAGTAGCATATTAACTGCTAATTCAAATCACCCAGTTAGTTAACGTCGATAGTAATATACTGGGGATGAATAATAAGAATAATTAAAACCAAACTCATAATAATGATATGATAATGATCGCTTGGGGTCCGGGCCAAATTGACGACAAGCTTAATGGGTCCGGGTCATTCAAATCGTCGACCCAGCTAACTAACAAACTACACTACTGACACTACATCGCACAAGTTATCATTGTACTTACCCTTAACCCTATTTAGTAGTTTGGCAACTGCCACGGATATGAAGAAGAAGAAGATGATGATGATGATGATGATGATGATGATGATGATGATGACACCATCCTCAACTTGCCAGCCAACAACGCGTCCTACCCTCTCTTTTTTCTTCTTTTCTTCCTTACCTCTGGGCGGAGGATTGGCCACGCGGGGAGTGAGGGGGAGCAGGCCTTCGAAAAGAGCCATCTGCATGAGCGTCATGTACACAATCAGTCAAATCCCTCCCACACACACACACACACACACACACACTACTACTACTACCCCCCATGTCAATTCTCCTCATCGGCCCCCAAATCTTTCTGCACTATCCCCATTCATTCACCCATTCCTTTGCCCCAGTACCATGGGCTCGTTACTCTGCTTTCTTCTGGCACATGCAGTTTCTAGTTCCAACGCGCAGGTCTCGGTATGGCTGGGACACACCCTCACACTCACACACACGCTCCAGCCTATCAGCATAATTACAAATTCCGGAAGGATGGCCGCGGACTAAGGAGCAATAATAAAATTTAGAATAATAATAATATAATAATAATAAACAATAACCATACGATAATAATAAAATTTAACACCGAGCAATCAGAAAATTGAACACAAAATAAAAAAATAAAATAAAAGCGTTCTGGAAAAATGTGGTACGTATGTATCATAAGGCGAAAGAGCCAGCCAGCCCTTCTAAATTGAGTATGTATTAGTCCCCACGTTTGGGTAAGTAAGCAACTCAGTAACTCCCTACCTGCCATTATTCAGGCTCTTGGCTTACTACATACTGACTGACTGAATGAAAGTGATCTCAGCCAACCGCAAATTGGTTACTGCTTTTGTCAAAGATGTACATTAAAGTGGGTGAAGTGAGAGAGCAATCAAGTATGTCCTTTACCCAGAACTCTCTAGATAGATAGATGATCACCTACTGATCGATTGACTGACTTGCTTGCTGAAGAATGTGTCAAACCGTGTTATGCGTAACAGTGTTACGCCAGCAAGGGCTTTTTCTCGTATTTATATTCCCCACCATTTGCATTCCGCAGCAGCTACTTTTACTACTACGTACTAAGCTAATAAACTACTAAGGAAGGGAAATGTTAATGCGGTCGTAATTAATGACTCGGTTTTGCCTTCTCTTTGGTTCAAATTCACCTGGAAATATTTGACGCACGATCTGCCCGCGGCGAGGAGCTTAAGAGACACATACCTTTCCTTCCATCCTTCCTTCCTCCTAGGAGTCTATCTATTAGAAATAAGATATTTAGGGATTTGGTTTGATCTAACTGGACACCATCTAACAAAACATAGTACGTAGTAATCAAAAACGGATACCCGAAAGAAGACTAAATCAGAAAGGAAAAATAAATTCCTCGAAAAAGAAGAACGCCGTCATTCGGCCGTAATACATCACACATACTCAAATAAATAACTTACGCCGCCCACAACATGCAGCCCTGCCATTGCATGAGAAAAGGCCAAGAGGAAAAAAAATAAAAAAGTCATTTCAGTTCCCCGAACCTGATAGGTCGTTCCAAGGCTGCAAGACGGGTCGACCGAAACGAAGCATTGCAGGGTTCATTTTTTTTTCTTTGCAATTTCCAAGCCTTTTCAGATTGATTTTCGGCCGCTGGCGGGAAAACATCAGACGACACAACATCCACTCAACTACCCATAGCTGGCTGGGGGGAGGGAAGACCGGGAGAGAGGGGAGTGGGTTTGTGTGGCCCGGAGCTAGTTCCGTTTTGTGTGCTGTGCTTGCTGCTGCTGCTGTACTCCACAAGCAATCTTCATCTTGTACTTATCTACATTGGGATTGGGGATGGGGGGTGAGTGTGTGTGTGGAGCCGTGGGAGGCTAGTTAGTTAGGTTGGTTAGCTTAGGATTGTGTCTGCGGTGGGTTAGTAGTCCACTGTTCGCTCCGAGCCTCTCTTTCTCTCTTACTTTCTCTGTTTTGAGTATGACTCCAGTCTCTTTTTCTTACTCTCCTAGTATAGATAGAGAGATAGTATTTACTTAGACTAAATTAAATTACCTTACTACTATCTCTGGAGAGATGGACATGTTCGAGACCCATACGTCGCTCGCTCGCTCGCTCTCTGAAAGATGTCAATAGCGATTGATTCATTTGGAATGAATCCGGTTGTGTTCGGGTTACTTTACTTACTAGTTTCGTTTTATTTTTTTCCCCTACTACTATCTATCTATCTACGTAGTTATCTGTCAGTCATGAATGATTAATTCGAACGGCTAGCCCAATCTAATCACTAGAGCGTGGTTGCCAACCTTACCTTTTTCTTTTTTTCTTTTTTTATTTACTCGGAGAAATAAATAATGATACAGAAAAAAGGGGGGGTTGTGTAGTATGGTAGTGGTGTAGGTTATGGAAAAGAAACGAACGAACGCAACGGGATTATACGGGAGTCACGCAAGACTAAAAATGTGACTGACTTGACTGACTGACTTTACTTGACTTGTCGGTGGGAAGATCCTTAGTTAGCAGGAAGCAAGGTCAATCTTTTCTCTCTCCTACTGATTTTCTTTATTTTTAATTTGTTTATAATTATTGTTATTTTTTTTTTCGGGGACGCTAGTTGGCATATGGAACAATCCTTCATTCGATTTCTACACCTCACCTCGCAAAGTAAACGGAAAAGGAAAAAGTAATGAAACCCGACAAGAAAAAAAAAAATAAGCAGAAGAATAGAAAAAGAAAATATGGATAGGTAAAAGGATCACTGCAGGATTCGTGCAAGACCATCATCATCATCCATCAGCAGGTGAGGATTTGGAGAAGAAAAAAACGGAATGAGCAGTCAGTGAATGAGAGGAAGAAGAAGAAGGGGGGGGAAGTGGAAGCCAGAGCCAGCCTGAGGGAGGGCAAGGAGGGAGAGGGGGGGAAAGGAAGCCGGCGAAGCAAGCCAACAGAAAGGCCATAATGGGCCGCGTCTATTGGGCGCGGAATAGAGTCAGCAACCCAACCTGCAGTGGCTTTGCTAGCGTACCGTTGTGTCGGGACGGGTTTACGAATAGGATCGAGGCTCTAACGCTGTCTGGCTCTTATGGTCTCAGATTGCGCAGGGCCATTGCTGAAGGACAGGCGACCTGACAGCCAAGCGGGAGACACGATGTGTGTGGGTCCGAGCCTTAGTACCGGGGGGGAAAAAAAGGGAGGGGGTGGAAATTGGAATGGGAGAAATTTCAAAAAATTTAAAAATAATCTAATATTAATAAAGAAGTAAGTAACAGAAAAAAAAGGTAAACGGACACGCAGAGAACAAATGCTGGAATAGGGAAAAGTACACAAAGAGCCTAACTAACCAACTACTTATTTACTACTAAAGAGGAGGGCCATGGGATGGATGGCCCCAACCTAGCTTAAGGGATTAGCCATGACTGACTGACTGACTGCGTGAGGCCACCACCACCACAACCGCCATCATTAGTATCCTCGATCCTTCTGAATTTCTTATTTTCCTTCAATGTAATCGCTCGGTCGGCCGTTTTCAATAATAATTTCATTCTTAATACTAAGTTTTAGAGATGATGGTCCACTTTGAAGAAGTAAACCACGGGTAACCAAACTAGGTAATCGAGGTACTTACCTTTTAGTGATTATTTGCCGTTCCTGTCGACGATAAAAATCATCCCGAACAGAACCGCGCGGTCCAGATAACAATCTGCAGACCTTTGCCAACACATCCTCTGCAGCCGTGAGACGATCGCCTGCCCCCTCCTTGTTCGATACTTGAATTTCCAGATGATCTCATCTGTCGGTTACGACGTAGTACTTTGCGCGATGATTTGAATGTATGTAATGAATCCCCAAAAGACAGGGTATGTAGCCTGTTTTCTTATTTACTTTGTTGCCTTTTTTTTATTTTTCCTATCCCACCCACTTCTTGATCGGTACGTAGTAGCATTTCCATCCTCGATTTGCGACTGGCGACACGGCACAACTATGGGGTATTGTATAAAACCCAGCAGGCCAAAATAGATTAAAGACCCTGCCATATAAGCTGAGACCTAAGTTGCTTAGCCTACTTCGGTAATGATTACATCGTTTTTTTCTTATTCTTCCAGAAGAAAAAGGTCAGCAGCCGTCCACGTTGACGGCATCATTACCACAACCTATTATAACCCCTTCGGTTGGCATTCAGTCATAGTTAATAGTAAGTGTTCATTATTCAACCTCTCGGCGAAGAAGGAGGGGCGGGCTGAAGATCCGTGAAGGATTACCATCATTTGGCAAGTAAACGAGGGGACGAATCATAGCAGGGCCTGTTGCTCTCTTGGCGACCGAACTGCGATCTCACTCCGAAGCAAGTACCGCTGAAGGAACGATCTGGAGTAAATTCGTCAGCCTCCTTCAGGCCGGGCCTGACTGACATCCTCAAACCCACTAGTTGCCGCGGATTTGAATCCGCCACTGTCAAAAGACTAGCCGACCCATTTATTGTCTTGGGAGGATCCATCCTGGGTTGAGCACGGTGGTATGTTTGGGGGCGCCTTTTTTCTGTTTTAAGTCTGAGGAAGTTTTAGTAGCAAAGCACAAGACAAGTAGCCTAGTCGAAGAAGACGCGGCGGGGCTCGGGGATGACGATCCGGGACGGACGAGTCTGGAGCGAGAGAGAATTGAGAATTGATTGAGAGACAACGGGGAAGCCCGATTTGGAAGGACTCTCTTTGTCTCTGTGTGAGAGAGTGAGGGACCCGGTCGGTAAGGTAATTAGCTTACGAGGGATCATCCATGAAAAGTAGGGGAAAAGAGGAGGAAAAGAAAAGAAATAAAAACAAACCAAAAAAGTAACAAAAGCTCGAAAGAAATAGGCAATGTTGACAGATCTGTTTTCTATGACTCAAAGAAGCAGGCTGGCTGGAGTTTCTCAGGTAGTAGATCTGATATCAGTATTATCAAAGTCATGCATATATCAGACATGTCGCACATGATGGCTGTAAGGAAGGCCGATGAAAGCACCCTTCAAGGTCGGGTCGGGTGCTTCCATCGACCGTGCCTGACACCCACCCACAGGAGAAGGGTTGTTCTAGGCAAAGTGGGCCGTGGCCACAGCAGCAGCAGCAGCAAGAAGCAGCAGAAGCAGCAGAAGCAGCAGTACTTACACAAACAAAGCAAATCTTGTACCCCCCACACTCAGCCGAGAAGTTCCCAGTTCCCACATCCTCAACCTGAAAAAGGACCCATGATGGCCAGGGAAAAAGAAGGAGTGACAACCGATAATTGTGTCACTATCTCCACAACTCCGTATGGCGCCGATCGGCCCCGAACTCATCCTAATTAACTAGCGTAGACGAGCACACAAATCACGGGATGGGCTTCTTGCCAAATCACTCCAATTCTCGTATCTCTCGCTTTTGAATTCCGGTGTGTGTCTCTGGGCTATTATGGTGAAGAGAATGAATGGGGGTTCGGTTCATCGTATTTCGTATAAGAAATTGATATAGAGTGCTAGTATAGTAGTAAAAGATGGTGGTGTAGTAGCCGTTATCCTTCACTTATCTTTTCATGCTAGTCGAGTCAATCAGCAGCACGCGCCCCCAAACCTTTCTAGTCTTTTCTTTAATGTTCTTTCTCCCTACGCTTTCCCTTTCCTTCAGCTCCCCTCGAGTCCATTATCTTGGCATCGCAGGGAAAAGCCAAGACGATTACAGTTTCATTAAGTGGACCATTCGAAAACGGCATGGTTCCATCGGCAGCTTATCAGCTAGTAGCTGTATCGAAATTCAAGTGCGAAACACCACCCTAAAAAAGGGCGGAGGCAGCCTCGGCCATGACTTGCTGTACGAGGCAACAAAAAAAATTTACCCAAAATCGGATGGCCACTTTTCTTCTTCTTCCTCCTCTTCTTCTGCTCCATATGACAAGGGGACTTGTATGGTGCCAGTTAGTAGTATTATTAGGGCCTGGACATCGTTAGTTCCAGGTTTCAACTGATGCAATGCTACACGGCGTATTGGGGCCGAACGAAGATTGGCTGAGGGTCAGAATTGCGGCACAGTCAATCTGCGCAAGCTCCAAACCCAACTCAGGCGCGTAGCATATCCTCTTGGCTTTTACCCCATGCAAGTTGTTCGAGCATATGACTCTGGCAAGTGAGCTAACTAGTCCATCACCCGCTTAATGATCTGGATGATATGCGTACGCGCATGCGCTCAGGCAGAAAGCGAGGGGAAGGTTCCGAGGAAATAACAACCATTTTCTCCGTCTGCAATATGATGGGCAGACCGCCAGAAAGTCTAAGACTCAAGAAATGAAAATCGAAAAGAAAAAAAAAAGAAGAAAGAAAAAAGAGGCGGATGATCATCCGTCTGTCAGCGCCCGTTGTAGATCCTATCCCGGAGTGTCACAGATTCCTTCGTCCCCAGCTCTCTGCTCCGTACAAGAGAGACAGGAGAACTAACCTGACTTGAGTGGAGAGGGTACTCTGGGGCATAGTCTCCATTGAGGACAAGCTGGTCACTGCTTGCTCTACGGCAGCTAGCAAGTAGCAACAAAAGGTCGCACTTGCTGCAACGATGAGTGATTCCAGACAAGGTACTAGCTAGACGACAACAATAACTTCAACTACTAGCTCTCTTGCTGCCACGTCCCCCGACGGGCGACCCTCACCTGTTCTGCCTTAGTTCCCACCATCTTCTCCTCATCCGACGCGTAGCCGCAGCTGCGTTCGGTCACGTGAGGGTTCATCGCCGGGGAAGTCAGGCAGACAACCTATGACGAAGGGCCATTTTAATTAATGGCGGAGCTCGGCAGGTCAGTAGTTGGCTCGTTCTAGCATGTCGCAATCCTCGGTGGTGGAGACCAAGGCGAAGAGAACAAAGAAAGTGGGCGGCAGGGATCATTTCCATTCCAGCAATCGACGTCGAGCACGCCAGGACACTGACTCGTAAGAAATTACACGACCGGGCGAGGGGGTGGATATTTTAGCCCATCCCATGTGTCTGGGACTGGGTTGGAATGGGCTGTGTAACTAATCGAATCCGGGATAACTTGTCTATAATCACATTCTTATTGAAGGTTATGCATCAGATGCAATGCAGTGATCATCTCCCTCGAGCGGTCAGGCAACTGTAGCACAGCGTTGCAGTTGCAGCGCCCATAGGGTGTTGGAGGTCGAGGTCTCAACAGGAATGGAAGGATTGATTAGGATCGTTGGCTAGAAATGACCTAGAAGTCAGAACGTTGCGGCTCAAGTTTGCAGCGCCGTCCAGGAGGTCGATGGCATTGCCCGCCAGATTTGGGCGCAAGAAGTGAGGCACAGCCGCGGCGCCTAGAGGCTGGTGTCTTAGTAGCAGCGCTACTACTAGCATCCTCAGGATTAGGCTAACGCCTGGGGGTCCAGCGGAACTCCGTACTACGAAGTACAACCGACCATCCTGCGTAATAATTCAAATGTAGTGATGCTGTCACTTGGTAGGTGAAACCAAATCGACCCCACTGGCACCTGCGGCGATAATATCCTGTTATACTAGTCAACCTGCAAGCGAGGTTAAGTGTAACTTATTGCTGGTCAGGGAGGTATGCAAAAAGACCAGCCTAGACAGCACACAAGTATGAAGTAATACCTTTCAGGGGCTATCCTAGCCATTCAACCCAGTGTTGAGTGCCCCGATCGGGAATCATTGCACGTTCTACATACCGAGTCCGGACACAGTAACTTAATGAAGGATGTTGTGATGATATTGTGTTGCCATTGTGCAACATATCGGAATATGTGCCGAGCCTCACCTGGTTTGGATCTTCCAGAAAGATCGATATGTTCCTGTATTGTGTACTACGTGGTGGCTGAAGCCACCACCCTTCTCATACCATAGTTCCGTCAAAGCCACCGGCCCGTCATCGATCAAGGATCGCAACTCTAAGCTTGCCTCAGATTCCATTTCAGTGCGAAGATATTCACTACTTGCGAAATGAAGGAGTAGTCAATCGAGGCATAGTGGATATATCAGGGGAAACAGTATAAAACACACACGTTTGTACTTAGCGGAACGGACGGGAAGATCCCGTCGGGTTTATTTACAGAGCCTTTTGGTCACTAACAACTTCCCCTCACCCCTTGACAAGGTAGTTGCAGTAGTAACCCATCCTTTCTGCCTCGCACAACAGCAAAAATGTCGCTGTCAAGGTCGTCAAGGCTCAACGGTGATGCGGCGTTGCACATGACGTTGCTTTCTTCTAATGGACCAATGCATGGAACCATGACGGTGGCTTAGATATGCTGCCTGGGGAGGGTCGACAGGCAATGGCTTAGACGGCCAGGTCTATTCCTGCAGCCTCGTGTATCTCCTCTTCGCTGAGAACCACTCATAATGCTGAACACCGACCTGACTATTGATGGTCATATTGACCGTAACACTTGTTGGTGAGGATGCATCTTTGGTTTGAAGAAGCGGGGCCGCTGTTGGTATTCGAGGCAGTCAGAACAGAGGATGAAAGATAGGTGTGGACTAAAAGAGGCACCACACTTGGCCAGAGCTTCCGGGGCCTAAGGAAGGGGTGTCTTAATTCAGCTTGCAAACATTCCGACTGGACCATTCCTCTACTCTAGAGTCTAGAGGCTATAGTGCCCCGTTTAGCCCAGATCAGATTTGCTGCGGACTGGATATGTCAGATGTCAATTAATTTAACAGCCCAATAAACTAACCACGAAGTGTGAAGCTGGAGCTGCATTCGCAACACGGAGCACTCTCCGAAGTGCTCTCGTTCTAGGGATAGTGTCAAAATTTAGCATCCTAAAGCTTAATCAAATGATTTGATTGCACAAATTTTACCCGACGGAATTCCCGATCATTGGTAGACTTGACACTTTCGCCAAACCTTTTTCTTATCACGCTAATAGAACTGTATCATGAGTAATAATAATATAAATATTAATCTGGACTGTGGTATTCATTCCAGACGACGCCGACACTCGCCCGGAAGCGTTGTATTGTAATTAATTCTCTTTCCTGTCAGCAGATCAGTTTGAGGGAGTCTCATCATCAGCTGATGCTCCCTCTCGTCCTCTCGATAAGCAGTGACCACTGCGTTAGTGGTGATGCACAACGCCTCTTCCAATCATCAACCACATCACCTGAACCTCATTAGGCTGACTACCTCACATCAGCAATCTGTTGAACAGATCATCATGCAGAATCACCATGGGCCCCGCCTCTGCCTCCATTTTTTTTCCCCTTCCCTTCCCCCCTCCCGTCTCCATAGTCCATTCATTCCGAGACCATTAGCCTCCACCGGACCGGATCGGGGCTGATCTAAGTAGCGACCAAAAAAAGTTATCAGGCAGGCTATCCACCGAACGGCGACGCTAAGAGCCTTGGAAGGGGTTGGCACGGAGATCCGGCAGGAATATTCACGAGCACCTTTGGCAAAAGCCACGGGCATGGTGCCTGTCTAAGTTCTAGAAGACACTGCTCGGTCCGGGCGACAAATCCTTCGCTGCGGCAAAGGATTGTAGTCTACTGCGCTAGATGATATGAGCCGAATGCTTTCTCATTGTGCGTGATAGGATTTGAGACCACGTTCACCACGTTTGATCGCCAGGATCTGTGGCGTGGTGTTGGGTGAGATTGTCCGCGCCACCGTGTAGATATCCATGCTTGAACTGTCCGTCAAGAGGATCCTCATCATGATTGTTTACCCTTTTGAAATTGGCGCAGTTACTGATCTTTGGTTCTGGTGGATCGACTATCTTGAAAAAGGAGCCCCCGCCTCTTTCATTCTCTCGTATTCAGAGCTTTTTTTTTTTTTTTTTTTTTTTTTTTGTCAAAATAGGTAGGTAATGTTCACGCACTGTGTCTCCTCTGTAAACTAAAAAATTTATCCGACCATGCTCATCACTTCCTTTTTACGTTTGCTTTTCTCTCTCTTCAAAGCTCCCTATAGGGATTCCCGCATTATTAAGCTCTGGGCTGCACCGGAGCCTGACTGCCACCGCGGCCGGTTCAGATCCGCCGGCCTTGACGATAAGCTTCAGCTCCAGGTCCGAGGCCGCAGCCACGGCGGTGAAAATGGACACCGTCTGCCTCCATTCCTGCTGCCATTGACTTTTCGCCGCAATTACTTGGCTTATTGGTGGACTTTTGACGATGAAACTCAAACCATGCCTGTTTCTGATTGGTTGGCTTGTTTTACCCAACTGGGAAATCTCGGTGATTAACCCTCGAGAATGCTAAACACCTAGTATGTAGTAGATGGACATGTCGTAAGAGGGTGAGGCCCTTACCTACTATTATAGGATATTTACTCGATCAAAATCTCTCATTATACGGAGCTGTGCAGGCAGGTTTGATGATTCTCCGGGAAGTTTACGACTATGCTGATTGAAGGAGTCATTCAGCCTGTCTCGTTTGCCTTCAGCCTCATTCCTCTTTGAGCCCCCCTCCTCTGCCCATTCCCTCAGGCACCGATGAATTTCTTACCCCTGCGCCTCGCAACACGTGGGGCCAATTGCAACGAGCGCAGGCCTCACTTTCTCCCCGTCGTCCGCTGCATAGTATACTTAGTGGCGAACGCTATGCCTAGCAGGTCAAGTAGATGGCTTAGTATAGTAGTCAGAAGCGAGTAATCCATGCGCGATGCCGATTCCCGATACGTACGGATCCCGAGTCTGGCCGCGCCGTAAGGTAGACCCATTTTGTTTTTGGTTTTTTATTTTAATTTTAATTTTCTGATTTTCGCTTCTACTGGCGAAAAGGATAAATTGCATGCCTCGGGACAAGACAATGAGATTGACACCTAATGTATGCGACAGGAGTGGAAGCGCGAGACAAGATGCAGGCATCTTTCATTATTGCACATTGTGTTCGGCCGGACGACATTCCTGCAACCAATCAGCTTTACTCTGAGCCAATGATTGCCATCTAAAGTAGCAGTCTAGACTGTCGTAGACGAGGATTTGCGGCGCAGTCGTTGTACATCTGTCCTGACGCTACGTGATGGAGTCGCTACGGAGAACGGAGACCAGCCAAGTCCTTAGAGTCCGGCGTTTAAGAAACTGAGTGGGGGTGATGGGGGGGGGGGGGGGAGAAGAGGAGAAGAAAGGAAGTACTCCGTATGTAGACGGTCTTTTGGCTAGCGTTCGGAATGGCTGTCCCCCGTCAATAGCTTATGACGGGTGCTATCGACCCTTTGCTAACTACTCCGACTTGGGACGTACTAGTGTTATTTGGTACCTACAGAGATGGTCCGCACACCGTAGATTGCTATACTAGTATGTGGTAACTTACCTACTTCTTACTAATGTGGGTGAGTCAACTAAATGAAGTAAAGAAGTATGTACGCGTATATATGTATGTATGCATGTGCTTGACAACAATTTCATATCACAAGGGCGGTGCATCGTCAATCAGTCAGTCAGGATGATGTATGTCGGGGGGGAAGGGAAAGTGACTGGACTGGGCTACGGAGTACAGGAGGCTATAATTATCCCGACGCAAACCAATAATGATGCATACTATAGGATGATCGCGTCGATGACTTTCCCATTCCCCCAAGGGCCTTTTCTGGTTTACAGCCAGAATACATACTAGTGTGGGCTGCCATGGGAGCCAGAGAGGGAAGCATTGACCCCAGCAAGCTGGCCCCTGCCATGCAAGCAATCAGGCCTTCCCCTACAGTGACTCTGTTAAGTTAAGCCTGACTGCAGCCCGGATGGGCCGGCGCGCTGTAAGGTCCGATACCATACCATACGCCTTCATTCACGGCCAATCCAAGCCGGCTGGCCGTTCGATCGACGTCGGCAAGCGAGATCGATTCCGCGTCTCAGACAACAACCCAAGAGTTAGTTGCTGCTGCTGCTAAACTAGTGTAGTTATTCTCTTCTCTCTCTCTGCCTGAGAGCAGTCACAACCGGTGCGCCCGCCGCCTCTTCAGTGTCACGCTGGACTCACCCTAAATGGTGCCACGGGCAAAGCAAAGTACCTCCCCTAAAGGACGTACCCCAGGTAAGCTTACTCCTTGCTTACCACGCCTTAATCTTGACTGAAGAAATGCCTAACCGTTTTCATCCACTGAGTCAGTCAGGTACCAGCTCGAGCCAGCTTTTAACCTACGTAGGGCTTAAAAAGTAATATCTAAGCAACTGTGTTGAAAAGCTTCATGAATATTTTCATTGTTCAAGACATCCTCGGTTTTTCAAACCCACCGTGGACAGCGAGTGCAATTTCCCTCACATTTTCCCCCCCTCCTCCTCCCAGCCTCGGGGACCATTTGCCAAACTTACCAGGCCTACTCAGAAAACCCCTCAGCTGGACGGAACCTGCTCAAGGTTGCCTACTAATGCCCAACTATCACACCCTCTACCAGACTGTCGGGTCCATGATGTAGTATTCGCGCTGCGAGAATCAGCCGGTGGCCTGCACCGATTGTCCCAGTTAATCTAATTTATTTTTTTTCGTCTCTTCTCGCACTCGCACAACTGGGGCTGCTGCTCCTGCATGGAGGCAGCCGGATTCCTGTCTCATCCCTCTCTTTCCGATCCATGTTCGTTGGGGTCATTCGTCTCCCTCGTCTGTTCGTCTTTTTTTGACTCCGGAGTACTCTCGACCACCAACCCCCTCTCCTCTTCTACCCTCCAGCAGAGGTTATGGAGCCGCTCAAGAGACGGAATATTAATTTAGAGTAACACTAGATACTCACTACTCCTAACTCCGGACTGATACTAACTAGCGATTTTATCAACTAGGAGTAGTTTTGAACACGGTCATGCAGAATGCCTCACCCACCATCCACACTCGTTTAGTTGACTTGCCTTACGTTCTAACCACCTCATTATTATTACTGACTTGGTAAATTGTTGACTTGACCTTCTTGGCTAAAGGAAACCCACGGAGGAGTCCTTCCCTTCCTTGCTTCGGTCCAGTCCTCGGACCACCCCCGGAGAACCCATGGTTTCTCCCCATTGCTAAGCATCTCTCAACCTCTGGTTCACCCGACTTTTCTTTTCACCAGCGAAACAAAAAATGCCAACCATCTACACGATCGCTAGAAGCCAAAACCCACCCCACACATCGTAGTAATACCAACGAGACATATCTCTCACTCTCTCCCGTCATAGCAATTTCTCTTTGTTTCCCTTCTCGGTGATCTCCGTGCAAGTATCCACTTCGGAAAACAAGGCTAACCCCCCCGTTCTCGACCTTGTTTCGCAACTTGGCCCTTCTTTGTTCTCGACATACCCTAGGGTTGTATCCAGAATTGGCGGCGCGGGAGGGGAGAGCCCCAGAAAGATACATCCGTCTTTTTGTCTAGCCTAATTATTGCATGCCAATAACCCAAGGATACTTGCCTACCCTCTCTCGAAGTGGACACCAAAAACAGGCAGACAGAGACAGCGACTGACAAGAACTGACAAAGCCAGCCGGTCGGTCGGTCGGTCGGCCGGCCGACCCAGGATTGAGCACCGAATGGATTCGGTTAGTAACCATGGGTTTTGGACTCATTGTTGTTTCAGGCAATTTCCTTATAAGGTACTCCGTAGCGTGTTAGTAGTAGTATGTAGTTTTTAGTTTACATGGATGTATGTACACACGGGCAAGGCCCCGCGTGCTGCTTTGCTGTGCGGAGCAAAAAAAGCGATCGTCACTTTACTAACTACTAACTTACTAACTAAACAATGTTCAACATCGGCTATTGTAAATACCTATATTTTGTTGTGATATGATTGTCGTGTTCGTATAAACAAAACCATAGCAGACAGGATTATTATCGAATCTAGTGCAGAGTAAATAATTAAAATGACTAACTAGCTAGCTGGATATGTACCCTCCGACCGAGGTAAGTAATTACTGCGAGTCTGCGACAAACAATGACAAATACTACCTTCTTCTGCTGCTTCTTCCTTCCACTTCCCCGGCCTGCCCTCTTCTTGGCCTCTCTTTCTATTCGCTTGCCATAATGAAAATATCCGGGGGTCGGTAGGTAGGTAACTAAGTACTACGTATCATCTAACTGCCATACTTGCTACTTACGGTAGTATCCATAGTGAACACGAAAACTGCCATGTAAGGAGAAAAGAATACCAAGATATTCGACTTACCCCTTCTTCAGTCAACCTGATTCTTCATTAGTAGTATATTATGTATAACATACATAAGTAGATGATTAATGTCCCCTCTATCGACATAACTATGAAGTAGTAGTAGTCACATGCATCTAACTTGGTACTTCTACTACGTAGAGTAAGTAGGTAGGTAGGTGGGTAGATACTCAGGTATGTAGCAGTACATTTACATGTGAGAAGGTGCATACATAAGTACTTTCCATCTTGTGTACCCCTTCCCCTTTGCCCCCTTCCCCTCTCTTTCTCACTACAGCCAGCATACATAAGTAGTGTAACATAACATACATACTAATCAGTTGTTCAAGTCTAACCCTGGAAATGCATTGCAACTAAACCACAGTTCCCCTCCTTTCTTCTTCCCCGTACCGGAAAAGTATTAGTAGTAGGAGGAAGAGCATACCTACCTACCTAGCTACTTACCGGTCCGAGATTCCGGTGCAGGCAGTACACACACACCTCGACCCAACATACACACACACAGTCCACATGTAACTCTGCAACTATGCATCATTCGAACCTGGCTGCAATGGCAGGCAGACAGACAGACAGACAGGTAGGTAGACAGGATCCTACTAAATGGAGAATCATCGGTGATACTACTATGTACATTATCACTCATACCAAGTATGTCCTACGTACTATGTACCATGCAAGTAGTATATCGGCATGCATTCATGTCTGTCTCAACCTACCATGCAACATAATGAAATGGAATGACCTCAGATAGATATATCTCCTCGGAGAAAGCACCCCCTTTACCCATAACTACTTACGGTACATACTCAACCCCCAGATAAGAAAACCAGCAGACAAGACAGCCAAGCATCGCAAGCATCAAAACCAGCAACAGCAACAACGGCAACGCCTAAGAAAGGGATAGGGGATATGTAGGGTACACACATATGTGACTCACGAGTCATGACAAGAAGAAAAAAGCCCTGCAGAATGCAGATCATTTCACTGAAGGAGAGAAGAAGAATTAGGAAACAGTTCATTTTGAATCAGATTACTCCTAGGAGAGACTTTTTTCTGGATCAGAGAGGAAAAAAAACTGAATCGGAGGGAAAAGTAAAGTTACATCATGTTCTTTGCATTTCGGGATTTGAAAATTGAGAGGAATAAGTTCTTGGGCTTGGAATGCTAGAATTTATGTATGTGTGTTGTGTATGCTGTGGTGGTTTTGACTTGGCTTGGCTTGGGTAATTGGAATGTTTGGATTGGAGATCGGTCTTTGGCGGGTTTTGGCAATGCTTGTGTGTGTGGGTGTTTGTTGGGGTTGAGAGGGAATAGGACTGCTTCGGTGGAATGTGTATGTTTGTTCTGCTCTATTTTCGTATCTAATTTCGACTTTGATAATTTACTATTCTGCTACTCTGATTGAGGCAATTGTCTTGGTCATTGAGATAGATGGAGAAGAAGGGTTATTATGTCCGTTATGTCCGAGGGAGGTCTCTTGGCGGTGTATGGTATTGTATACGTGTTATGTATGGCGTATGGTTTCGTGTACTGGTATGTATTGGTCTGTACTGTTGATGGGCAGACAGTTTCTTGATGAAAGGCATAGTTGCGATATTATGATTATCTGAAGAGCATTTATAGCTTACTTGTTTGCTTCCTCAGGATGGTGCATGGCGTGACTGATGTAGTGTTGGTAGATCATGTATAATACTGCTCGATATATATTTTGTACTATACGATGTTCGGATATACTATCTACTAGGGTCAAGTTGAGTTATTTCTGTAGGCAGACATGGGATGGATTAAGCCAAAGTACTGGCTTCTAAGTTCAATTATTATTTACTTTATTCAGCGAGGATCTATTTGTTGGACCTTCAAGTATTGACTGATAAGGGTAATTGAGGAGAATACTAGACCATGCTGCTGTCTGCTGCCCTCAGCAAAGCTATTGGCAGCCATACCCCCTGGATCTTAATGCCGCACATTAAAGCTCCGAATGCTGCTGGCATTGTAGCTTCATGCACGCCCTCTCTGTAAGCTATTCTCTCGCTGGCAGGAGCAGACAGCCCCGAGGGTAGCCGGCGTTGTCCAAGTGACGAGTATCATTGACGATCAGACCATACACAAGAGCTCCAGGGTATTGGCTGGGATGATGTGCACCATGTACCTCTAGATGTGTACATTGACCAAAGGATAATCTGTAGACTCTGGAACTTTCTGATCCTGCTATGTTGTACTGCAATACCACGTTGAGATGATATGGTACCACATCCATGTCATCCTGCAGGTCGTTGAGGTATTGACTCGTTAGCCGGACTCACAGAGTTGAGGGTTTAATTGTCGATGGGCTGCTTACCCTGTGAGAGTGTTTCCGACTGCATCATGACGTTCATCTGGTGGGAACGCTGACCTTGAATGTCTCCTCGCTGCTTCTCGTCCGATTTTTGTCAATCTTCTAAGCCTTCCCCTTCTTAGCCTTCCACTTGTTGTGCCATGTCAGCGCGTCGTGGCTGATCGTCACTTGATCTCTATTGCGTAGTAGAACTTAATCTCAACGAGAAAACTATATGCAGCAACTATAAAAGTTAGACTAGTTCCTTGATCAGAGCAGAGAATTGCAGAGTAGATTGCTCACACACAATGATGACAGTGTCAAACTGAATGACGAGCCTCGCAGGAATGAAGCCTTAAGGCGTCCCATGATGAGCCTTGAGAAATATAAGCTTGTCCGTAGCAAGCCCTTAAGCACTGACAAAATCACTTGAGACAGATCAATGTAATGTGGCTTGCCTTAACTCGTATCCCTCGAATCCTTCGCTCATGAATATAAAGAGTTGTCATGAGGAAGTAGACAGCCACTGCGATAGTGCAATGGCCGATAAGCTGACTCTCGGGCCACCTCTCGAAAGAACCCCATTTGAGAGCTGATAAGGAGTCTGCACCAAACTGTGCAAAGAACGAAGAAGATAAAGAGTTGCTTCGGGTTAAAGGTTCACTGTAGCCAAGCATACAGCGTTATGTTGTCATCGTGGATGCTGTATTGACCGCTCCAATATCTCCATGCCTCTCGACGAGGTATTTGACCATGGCCGAGGGAATTCTATGCCAAATTAGAAGTAGATGAGAAGAGGAAGATAATATGTGAGTAGCCTTGCTGCTTGTCTATCACTAGCTGGACATGAACCTTACATACCATATGAATATGTAATGTAGACTAACCACAACGGGACAGTTGGCTAGTACTCCAGTTGTTACTTGGCTTTCCAAGATTTCTCATGTGGGAAGGTAATGCGTCTTGCTCTAGGCCCTTCTTTTCCATCCTTTCTCTCTTGTTATCTATACCTCTCGAGGGCGTGTTATGAATGATTATATTCAGGTTCAGTGTACGTAGGCTGTGTCTATTTGCCAGAATAGTCAAACTTTGAGGACCAGGGTAACGGAGTTGAAGAAGTTGACTTGTCTGTCATGAATCTGCTTCGAGAGGTCCGGGGTTGTATTGTGATTTACTGGTATGCTATGCCACAACCTTGTGTATTATGAAATTTGCTATGAGGGAAAGTTGTATCGAAAGTTGCTGATGCCCGTCGAACCGTTTGAAAAGAGTCAGGTTTAGAAGGGTCAGCGATATGTCTACCGCTTATATGTCTACAGAGATCTAATCGCTAGGCCTAGTCGTCACCTATACACCATGCTATAGTGAATCAATGCCTTGGTATTGGACTTTTGCCTCATGATTCAAGCCTTATGGAACTACATCAATGCATGTCGCATGCTTTTATTAACTATCTGAGGTGCAATAAATCCATCAGGTTACCACAACGCCTGTCCGTTAAGCAATCTTCCCCAACCCCAGATACATCCTGCATATCCTGCCATTTTACCTATATTCGAACCCGCCCTATACATGACCATCTTGGTAAACCGCCCCATATGTAGGTAGCCAAACATAGTCTGCTTGACTTCAGTCAATGTGCATACCGGTAGCGAACTCGCAGCTGAGTGAGGTTAGCAGTAGTCATTATAGACTGACACAAGGGTACCTACGGGTCTGTCGCATACTGAACGTTGCAGTGCTCCCACTCAGGATCACGCACGAGAATCCCGCGGAACCGCACAGCATCCTCGATGGAGCAGAAGCGGAAGACGACGTTACGGGCCTAGTAAAATGAGTATGCTAAACACAAGAGGAATAAAGGAAGGAGACTCACATCTCCAGGCACATATGAGTCCAGGATCTTTTCAACCTTGCGACCACTGCCACAGGCCATGTTGTACAGCTGCGCCATGCTGGCATTCATGTCGACTCCGACAGCTCTCACGGCGCGAGTTGAACCGACAGAAAGGTTGAAAGAAAGCTGGGAGCTGACCACGTCAACTTCCTTGCCCATCTCAACAAACACGGTGATCCTTCTTTCTTTGTCAAGGTCGATGCCGTTTGGGTACTTGTCGTAAAAGGCCTGGCATGCTTCATGTTCACAAAAGAGGATATGAGCAGTTCCGTTGCCATGGACGTGGACACTTTCGATATTGCCACCGTGCACAAGCGACAGAACCTTAGCAGGGGTGCACCAGGTGGCAGGCAAGCCTCGGAGGATGATACGACGGACACGAGAAGCTAAAACAAGTCGTGTAAGTAAGTTAACCACCGGAAGATAGGATATGATATATGATACCTGGCTTGTCACGAGCAGCAGGGGTGCCCCAGCTCTTGAAAGTAGTAAGGTTCTCACGGTCCTCTACCTCACTGGCGTCACTTGAAGCTACAGCTTCCGAACCACGAGGACCAGCGCTGATAGTAGCAGCAGCATTGTAGTCCTGGGGCTCGGAGTCACCAAAAACACTGGACACTCCAGCCTTGGGGGTCTCGGGCTTCACTTCAGATTCTTCGGCATCAGGCTTGATACTCCACTCGTCGTCATAAGTGTTTTGACCGGATGGTGCTACAGAAGACAATAACATTAGATATGTCGCGTCAAAACTTCACAATGGCTGTGGTCGCATGATACTTACCAAAAACATCAGCATCAGCACGAGACTCGGGACGACTCATTGAAACACTGGCCTTCTCACTGGACGCGTCGACAGCAACAGTAGGAGTGCCATAAGTCTTTGGCAGCTTCAAGGAGCGAGCAGCAGCCATGAAGCTGACCGTGTCGTCCACATCGGCGACAGGGAACGTCTTGGTATTTTCCTTGTCCTCCATGGTGTTGCCAAACGAAGAAGATAAGGGAGAAGAAGGAAGAGAACAAGTGGAAAGGAAAGTGTCGACGGGAAGTATCGACGGAGAAGACTGAGATGGAAAATAAGGAGCAGAGGATGGGCGAGTTTTATTTTCGCCGACAGTGAAGTGCGTGGCTTCGTTACCTGAACGACGAAGAGGGGGTTCCTGTTCAGGTCTAGCAGTCAGCCCAGCAAGAAGACTCTCACCGTGCTATGGTAAATTACAACAAGACGTATTGAATGGGCGAAAAGGCCGGTACAAGACAAACAGCAGGAAAGAGAGAGACTGACCGAGAGATGTGTCTTCTTGGGAGCATGTCGGCTCTCTTCGAGACCGAAAGACGTCTTCTCCATGAAGGTTCCGACGACACCGTAGATTATACTGGTGACCCTGCTGGCAAATTCCATTGTAGGGACCGGACGCTTGTCCATGATAACTAGGAAGATTATGAAACGTTTGAGATGGGATATTAGGAGATATGTAGGTGTCTAACAAGAGGGAAGATGGTTGTAAGAGGAAGGATGCTAGGCAACAGATGAAAAGAAAGATGAACCAGCAACTGCAGAGGAAGCCAGACAAAGGAATAAGAGGGGCTAGTATATTACAATATAAATAGCATAGTAGGGAATAACACTTGAAGTCTAATATGATTGGCAAGTCCCGCCAAAATAGCTTGTGACCGAGGTGATCTCGACGGTGAATGGCATTTCGAGGGCGTTTTCGTAATACAGATCTACAAGCATCATTGTTCCATCCAATGTTGTTTCGAAATGTGATATCATTTGGATTGCACTATGTCCATGGACGTCTATAGATGAAAATTTATGTACCCATAACTCGTGGCCTATACAGTAAAGAGAACAATGCAATATGCATGCAGGGAATATCTACACATTGATCGAAATCCCTTATGAAGGTACTTCAATCTCCTCATATCCCTTCTGGCCCTCTTTGCGATGCTCGATGATGACTTGGAGTCCCGGGCGTCCGCAAAAGCCATCTTTGCCTGCAACCCGATCAACGAGTTGAAATGACCCATTCCCCTCTTCATGTTCATCAGGGATCCAGACCTTCTCCTGAGATATCTGGCCGGGGACTTCGGTTCGCCGAGGATTGAACCAAGGCATGCCGACGAAATGGTTGAGGATATCATGGATCCAAGAGTACAGCTTCTCGAACCGCCGCGTAGTCCCTAACCAGGAAAGGGTGCGGGTGTCGTACGCAACCCGGACATATGGATTGATATAGATCCCCGTGTCTGTGATCTTCTCTGGGTCCGGCTGAGGCTTCTGAATATCGGCATGGATAAGACAACACTCAGAAGCTTCCCAGAACGTATCATGTGACGCCCGGAACCGGGCAGGTGATTTGTCCTCTCCAGGCAGCTGAGGCTGTACATCCATGACCGATGAATCTGTATCGCGCTGGAAGAACCGCGCGTCGAATGCTACCATTCCTCCCCAGCAACTCCGCACCCGCACAGCATCTTTCTGAGCTAGTACGTCCTGGCGGCTCTGACCTTGTCCAGCGCTAGTGAACCACGGGAAGAAAGGCACGCCCACGCCAAAGCCCTGCAGATCGCGTGTCGCATAAGTGTCATAAAATTTGAATGGGTTGATGAAATCCACGGCGCACGCGGCCCGGTATTGAGAAACGCCATCATCCGTGGCATTTGTGGAGAACAGAAGCTGGAGCGCATCCACCGGGTTGAATGCAACGTCGTTCAAGTAGAGCAGCTTGTCGTAGCGCACTCCCGGCTGGTCGTCCAGCGGTTTTAGAGCTCGGTTCCGCACCTCCGCCAAGTACTCGATACGTTTGATCCGCCTTGAACCGCCGGGAACGGCAACTGTCGGTAAACCGGCCAGATCCAGATGCTGCTCGAAAATAATGGACTTCTGGCATGTGGCCCGATCCGCCAGATCTTGAAGCGCACTCTCTCCATCTCGACCGCTGTCGTTCTCATAGATGCTCAAGAAAACATTGTCTTCTCCGAGCAGATCGATCAGCTCAAGCACACTGTCCCCCCAATGTCCTCGTGCTAGATCGCCATCAGGGTCATATAAGCTCGCTGCGATGAAGACTTTTTCATTGCGGATGTTGCCTCGGCCGGATTTCGTTGACTGAGACACCGCATTCCGAAGCGACAAGTAATGTGGCGGCGGCTGGGTATAGGAGGGCCGGAATATGGAGGTCAGGACGATGAGAAGGAATATAACGCCGATAACGGCAGAAACATAGTTGCAGATGCGGCGGAATAAAGAACGACGATAGCGACCGGAGTACCTCGACCCCGAAGGCTTCAAGTGACGATAACCGGCATAAGTTGATGAGAAGAGTCGCGACCACAGGGGCACTCTCCTGGAATCATCTGGATAATAGTAGCCAATAGACATGGCAAACAGATCTTGACAGGCAAGTCGAAGCAATCACTTTGCTCAGCCCATGCCTAGGATACAATGGATCATGGAAAAACCAGAGGCAGGCCAGCAACCAGGCAAACAAACCATCCTCTTCTCCCCAAACTTTGCCTCGCCAGGCCACGGGGTTTTCCCCTTTGCCACCAAGGGGAGCGCACGCCTGCTTATGTCATCGGTGGAAAAGGAGTCTCCCCGCTCACGTGCTTTGCCGGCCATCGTGGAACTGGCCATTGTGGGAGGAGGGACTCCCTGCAGGGAACCCCAGACCACATGGGGGGAATGTGTCTAAAGAAGTCTCAAAACCATACCAAGTGAGGAGTGAGTTTACTGATAACGGCCGGGAACCCCGGGGGATTTCTATCAAGCCTACCTACTTTTAACAGTAAGTCGTACCAGACAATTGCCCCATAGTTACCTTCCGACCGGCCTTATCGTCGTGCTTCTAATCGCCCCGTAGTCTCCGATTACCCCACTCACCCAGAGTCATAGCTGTCATAGGCCAAACCCTGTACCGCAGACGGTGAGGATCTCCCTGCGACCGCATACCTATTCGAGTACATTGTGGCCCAGGTCAATCCGGATGCTGGCTTTAGCTCGGAGTCTCTACTACTAGTATGGCGTCGCTGGCTGCCCCAATCAATATGACGTAGGCCATTTGGCTACAAGAGACCTCTGCTCTTCCTCACATCATCCATCTCTGTTTCTCCTTTCTCCTTCAAGACCTTTGTATTTTGTTCCTTTGGAATAACTCCATCTCATTCCTACCCTTCCTTTCCAATTACCCTCCCTCAAATACCCTTTTCCAGTCCGAAACCGTCTAACGGGGTGAGGATCTCACAGACATTGCCAAAGCGTCCTCTTCACGGAACCAGCCGGCAATCATGACCAAGTTCACTTTCGCCAATTCCTCCGAGAAGGTACCCGGTGATGGGATCCTCCCCGCCCAATTCTCCATCAGAGCGGCCCCTCAAACAGATGCTTGGTCCAAACCTCCATCCACAGACACATTCACTGCGCCGATTCTATACCGGAGTGTTCCGTTGAAGTCGTTCAAACGGGTCAGAGTCGCCTTCAATGCAGTCTGGCAGCAAAACTATGACCAGGGTGGACTCATCCTTGTCCTCAACGGTGCGGGAGGCACCCGGAAATGGGTCAAGACAGGCATCGAACTCACCCGTGGCCGACCTCACCTGAGTACCGTCACCAAAGACAACTGGGCGGACTGGAGTCTGCAGCCTGTCCCGTCAGGAGGTGGAGCGGCGACACTAGAGCTGGTCCGAGAGTCAGACAATAGCCTGTGGATTTATCTTGTGGAAGGCATCCAGAAATCCCCTCTTCGGGAAGTCACCTGGGTGTTCGAGGAACCTAATGTTCAAGACCTTTGGGTTGGGCTCTATGCAGCACGGCCTTCGAAAGAGGGGGGGGAGGACCTGGTGGTGAACTTTGGCCATCTGATACTCGACACGTCAGATTAATGGATGTCCTGTGTGCAAATGTATCTTATGCATAATGTCCATGGTGGTCATGTCATCTAGATATTGTCCCGAGTCGATTGGCAGTCCCTATAATGTTGATACTTCGGATGATGGATTTCAGGTACCCTACCTGAAATAGAATGGTACAATGCAATCTCAGTCCCAGACCGTAAGAAAACGTACTGCTGAATTTGCAAGCTTGTAGTAGCAGTCCTCGATGTGTGCTGGATAGTAGTATTCGAGTGTCACTGAAAATGCTTGCCAATCATAACTGAGGGTCCGGCTATCTGCCAGCTCCATTACCGTCGCTGGTTCGATCCCCAGAAGCACCGACCACCATCATGGATGACTGAATGCATAGATAGGTAATACGCCAGCTGTTATTGGGGGCATGGATTTCTGCAAAACAGATCACATGAAATAACACCAGCACAGGGCGTCACTTGTGGCCAGCATATTCACATTTTCTCGAGAATCGAGCTCATGGCCTATCTGCTGGGTGGGAGATGAGGGATTAAAATCCAAAGAGGGGGTGGAAGAGGGGAGCAGGGTAACTAATAGTATCTGGTCTATATGCAAGAACTGCAGCCCATATGAACTGATCCGATTCGAAGCGAATAGAGAAGAAAAAGTAGTAGCACTTGAAGAATCTTAACCAACCGCAAGAAAACTCCGTGTGCAACCTATACGAGGAAGAAAACAACGCTAAGCTTTACCACAGCGGTGTCGTACAGTGGGCAGTGTACCCATTCCGGAGGGTTGCGAACCGAACTTGAAGCCCAATACAATATCTTTACCCTTTTGAGTAAGTGGGTGGATCGTTAAAGTTCGGCTTGACTCTTCCGTGAACACGACCGACCAGAAAAATATCGCATTAATTTCCTGCGGCTTTCGCGCCTTCTTGTCAATATTCATTGTGGAGTTTCGCACCCCTCGAAAGTGTCGAATCTCCTATCCAGGATGGTCTTACCCAGATGATCCGGTGATTGTTATTACTCACACGGGATGATCGTTGCTCGAGGGGTAAGAGTAAAACTGTAGGCTGCGGAGACTATGCATCACCCCGTGACCGACGGATGATGACCAGGAGCGGTTGTTCCCGAGTCATCCAGCATCGGCTGTGCCACTTCCCCCAATCATGCGATGGGGCCGGGATTTCTCATTGACGATTACGCAGAGTCTTTGCTGAGCAATCAAATAACTCCGAGATCCCTGATTTCTTTCGTTGGCGTGATTACAATTACTCTGTGTCTCCATAAGACATTCAAAGAGTGGGTGAAAAATGTAAGAGAATGGAGTAGTACTATTACGCTGTGCAATAGTATAGTAGTAGTACGGTGTTGGATCAGTCAGGTTCGGCCTGCAAGGGGGAAGCGTGGATGATGCGCGCCTTCATTCTTCTTACGAGCAGAATGTCAGGCGGTCTGAAGGGAACAGTATAACAAGGGCAGCAGTATATATGCTTATGCTGCACATACTCTTTGTTCTCTTATTTTATTATTTTATCTTCAACACAAGAACTACATTGTAATATACTCGAATAATATAAAATCCATCTTATTGTTTATCCCAGGCTTTCCTTTTTCCGGGTCCGACCGCCGGACCAGGTGATCTTATCATATCTGATGTTCAGTTGCCCGCCTGCGTAGGATTCAGAATCCCGGTCGCCTTGCCACACTATCCTTCCCCCCCCCCCCACCAACACCACCACGCTTTTTCCCTAGTGAACTCCTGCAGTCGAAGCCTTCTTTGCAGCAAGGCCCAGGGGTACATGCTCACTCGATCCTCCTCATTTCCCCCCTTCTATCCGTCTACGAAACGAAACTCCCGCCCCTTCCCCGTCAATGGGTGCCCGTGGCCGAGGCACAAGCTTTGCAACCATCCAGCCCATCCGAAAGTCCCCTCGGTCTCATTCGACCAACGACTGGCGTGGGACAAAACAAAACATTGACAGCTCCGTTCGGACTATCTGGTGCAGCAATTCAGCGGGTGCCACACTACCCTTCTGGGCCACGGGCGTTTAGCCCATAGGCTAGGTCCTGGGCCTCCCACTTGGACTTGCATAAGTGCGGCCTGTCGATCGTGTCCAGTGGTGTGAATCATATCGGGGAGCCTGATTTGGGCTTGCAGACTCATAGCTGAGCCCCTTGGCCTCCGTTCTCCGGGCTGTACGCCAGATCTGGCGATCCACGCGTGCTGCGCATTCCGCTGCTTGATTTGGTGACCTAACTGATGCATGTGGTACCCAAACCTGGCTTCAGGGTGCTCCATCTTGCTAGTGTCTTTTGCTTTTTTCTTACCCTGCTTATTCTTTAGACTTTGATACCCCCTCTTCGTTGGCTAGTGTATTGCTTTTTCGTTTGGTGGATCTGGCTGGTACAGGTCGCAGATACCCTTTTACGTCCGCTTAGCCTTGCAATCGTCAGCCTGCTCCGTCCTTTTCATGCCTGCTACTTCGACATTGAAACTATCGGACTCAAACTGTTGCTTCATCTGCTACCTTCACCACGACGAAGTATTTGACGACCTGTCGCAATAAATGGACCCTGGTCATCTTATAGCTACCCAGCGATACCATCCATCAACGATTACGGCGCAGCCGCGATGCCCCTTCTTGACCACCGCTCAACAGTCTCATATGGTACCCTCGATCAAATGGATCAAGACAACAGGGAGGCGGAGGAGCGCCTCCTTCAGGCGGAATACGACCCTGAAGGTCATGATAGTGAAGTAGAATCCTCTGTGGATTCGGTTCAGGAGGGTGTTCGGAAGATTGAAGCAATCAATCTGACATGGACAACACGGTCGTTGATTATAGCATATGTCAGGTAAGCCTCGTAAATTATCAGGATTGGTGTCTGCTCTCAATATCCTTCGTGGTTGCTAATGGTGTTGAAGCATCTTCCTCATGGCTTTCTGTACCTCGCTCGAAAGCCAAACCGTGATGTCCCTTTCGGCTTATGCCACCAGTGCTTTCAGCAAGCACTCCCTTATCTCTACGGTTCTCGTTGTTCAAAATGTGGTGAACGGTGAGTATATTTCTCCCTTGGGGTTATTCTTATTCTCTGCTGACCCTCGTAGCTGTTATCAAGCCTCCTATGGCTAAGGTTGCCGACGTCTTCGGTCGGTTCGAAGCGTTCTGTGTCAGCATCCTCATATACGTTCTAGGATACATCCAAATGGCTGCGTCGACAAACGTTCAGACATATGCCTCTGCGCAGATTTTCTACTCTGCCGGATCTACCGGCTTGCAGATACTTCAACAGGTGTTTATTGCTGACAGCAGCAGCCTATTGAACCGTGCGCTCCTGGCGCTTCTACCAGAGCTTCCATTCTTGGTCACGGTCTGGATTGGCCCGACTATTGCAAATGCAGTGCTTCAGCATACATCCTGGCGATGGGGTTATGGAATGTGGTCGATCCTCCTACCTGCCTCGTTTCTTCCGTTGGCACTTTCGCTATTGTTCAACCAACGCAAGGCTCGAAGACTGAACTTGATCAAGCCTAGACACCCTCATCGACGAGGCCTCCTTTCAATTATCCGCCACACTTGGTACGATCTTGACATGTTCGGTCTGATCTTGCTCTCAACAGCGGTGACTTTGATTTTGGTCCCTCTTACGCTTGCTTCCAATGCCAAGAATGGATGGAAGAATGGCAGCATCATCGCGATGATTGTGATTGGCATTCTCTGCCTTTTTGCGCTTCCCGCCTGGGAAACATCAAAGAAACTGGCTCCCAAGCCTCTGTTGTCCCTGCATCTACTCAAAGACCGAACAGCGCTCGCAGGGTGTACTCTGGCATTCTTCTATTTCAGTAAGACTCCACTTTCTCACAAATCAAGGTACTCTGCTAATTCGTCTTAGTGGCGTTCTATTTCTCGGTTCAGCCTTACCTCTACTCTTACCTGCAGGTTGTTCAGGGCTATGATGTTGCCACAGCTGGCCGTGTGACCCAAACCTTTGCCTTCACGTCGACTATTGCTGCCTTCGTCGTGTCATTGCTCATTAAATATACGCGCCGGTACCGGATCTATGTCACCTGCGGTTGTGTCATCTACATTGGGGGAATTCTGTTGATGTTGCTCTACCGTAAGGAAGGAAGCTCACCGGCGCAGATCTTGGGTACGCAGATTATCGTTGGCATGGGCGGTGGACTCCTCAACGTTCCAGTGCAGTTGGGCGTTCAGGCCTCTGCTAGCCACCAAGAAGTTGCTGCAGCGACCGCAATGTTTTTGACTTCCATGGAGATGGGTGGGGCCGTTGGAGCAGCCATTTCAGGAGCCGTTTGGACACATCATATTCCGAGAAAGCTGCAACTCTACCTCCCTGACGAGTTCAAATCCGATGCGGGTGAAATCTTCGGGAAGTTGACCAAGGCATTGTCTTACCCGATGGGATCCCCCGTCCGGGTAGCGATCAATCGCGCATACCAGGAGACCATGAACAAGCTCCTGGTGTTGGCGTTCGTTGTCACGATTCCGCTGATCCCGCTCAGTCTACTGATGACGAATTACAAACTGGATAAGGTATGTGCTTGTGAAGATGGCGTTGATGTTGAACCAATTGATTAACGATGGAGTAGATGAGCGAGTCATCCGACCACGAGCCGATCCCAGTTGAAGATGAGGGTGAGCCCGAGGGACGTGCGAAACGAACCTGACAGACCGCATTGGCGTTCATGTACCCTTCGCTTGAATCTGCCATATTGTACAAACACATACAGGGAGAGCATCCCGGTTAGATTGCAAGGGCACTCCATTATTATTTCGCCTGCTGTCAACCGTCGCAAACCCGCATGGGATAGAGAAGGCGGTGTGAAAAACCCCATGACTTGGGGATCCGAAAATGGACTGTGTACAATCCAAACTATATACATTGATGATTGATTGGTTGCCATTTCTTTTCATGCTTTTGGATTGAGGCCGACAGTGCCGTTTGTGCGAGCATTCACTTGGCGTTCTGGATTCTCCTTGATGGCTTGCGCCATGAAACTCAAGCTGCAACGGCGAGAACGGCCGGCAGCGGATGATCCTGCGGGATGATATTATAGATGTTACGACTAGACTAGATGATTTATGGGTCACGTCATATATATATATATAGCAAGCATTGGTACTATTTGATTGGAATTTTACTTGTGCGCCTTGTTTTCTGTAGGTTCTGATTGGTTGCTGTAGTGGTGCGACGATAATAGCGCTGAGGATTGGACCGGGGGGAATGAAGAAGGGAAAGCAGATTGATATGTACCGATCCCCAGGGTGGAATCTGGGCCCCGTCATGAAACTTAGCGCGGGGGCGTTTTATTGAGGTCGGTCTGGGCGTTTGCAGTGCTGAATACTATTTAGTCTATAGTCTAGTAGTACAAAGCCATTACTTAGATAGACGAGATGAAGAGGGCGGTCGGTGCTGTCCAACCAGCCCCGTGCGAGGTCGGGATGGCATGGGATGGCATGGCATAGCCCTGACCCTGGCCTCATTGTTACCCTCGTCGATGACACCCCTCGGGGTCGCAGTTGATCACAATCACTGCTACTTGCTACTGCCTACTGACTACTAGCTTCACTAACTGCTAGGTTGTTCCTCCTTGGGCGCGTAGCGAATCAAGCTAGGACAGGCGCAGTCAGTGCGACCGTCTGGGCAAGCTAGATTGATTGGCTCAAGCATCTGATGCTCAGTGTGACGGGATTCATGGCGAAATTATGATTGATTCCTTACCCAACTGGAGGTGTTACCTAACCTTACTTAACTTTACTACTTTACTTTCGCCTGAGCCTTAGGATCATTACTGCCTGCCTGCCTGCCTGGCCTTACCTTACACTGGACAGCCAGCCTGACTTCCGAGGCAAGCCTGGGGCCCGGAGAGAGTGTGTGATGAGATTGATGGCTTTGCTTTTGATGGAGCATGATCGGTTATTGTAGGAGTTTGTAAGTAGTAAGTAGGTAGTTAAGTAACTGTTATGGACTGAAAGAGTAGGCCTCGCTTTTCTTCCCTCCTTTCTCTTTATCCCTTTCTTCATCATCGGTTTTATTTACTCTCGTCATTTTTTCTACCACGGCTCTGTTTCGTCTTATTCTATCGATCGGATCCGATCAAGTTGCGGTTTTTAATTGCTTTTGGGTGTTGGATGACTTGACTTGGCTCTCCTCCTTCCTCCACCCTCTCTTCCTCGGTCTGGTATTTACTACCATCACTATCATCTCATCACATCTCATCTCTCTGCGCTTCCTCGGCATCACGCTATCGTTGCGGAAGACAAGACGATCGAGATTCTAAAGGGAAAAAAAATTACGGAAGAGAGAAGGATCGCGACAGGATAGAATAAAAGGGGGTGGTTTATCTAGGTTGCCGTCATATTGGCCTTAGTCCGATCTCTGTGAGTTGTCTCTTATCTTAGGTTGTGGATCGCCGTTGTGTTGCTTTTTCATCTGGCCGTTCAGTGGGTAAAGAAAAAGAGCGTGACCGGGGGGGGGTGAGGAAGTCTTTTCCTTTGGGAGTTTCATCAACAGCCCAGGGTAAATTACTTCAAACGGTGGCGCAACTCGCAACCATCAAAAAGAGAAATTGTTGTCAGAGGTGTGAAAAAAAAAAAAAAAAGGCGGGCGATAAAAAAGAACCTGCTAACTAGAGATAACTAAACCAGGAGCTAACTAAGTAACGGTGCGGTGCGGGTTGCCCCATTTGCAAGCCAAAGCAGCAAAGCAGCAGCAGCAGCAGCAGCAGCAGAAAGCAGAAAAGTAGCAGCAGCTTCTTTTCCTTCCTCTCCTTACTACTAGTAAGGTATCGTCTCCGTCCTCCGCCTACTGCCTCCTCCCTCCCACATTGGCTGGCTTCCTCACCAACCATCCCTCTCTCTCACCGTCGACATTCACCGCACACCACCTCCCCATCCGTGAATCCAGACGGCCTCGCCCATCCACCGCGTCTGTCCTCTCCATCTTAGCCGCCTCACCTTCTCGTTCCCTTCCACTTCCTCCTCACTCACTCACTTACTCACTCTCTCCCCCCTCTCTCTCTCAACACCCAATCGGTCTTCCCCCCTCACTCGTCTCTTCCCTCTCCCCCCCCCTGGTTCACCGCATCTCCTGCTTCTCCTGTCCCTGCTCTCCTTTCGGCATCCGACAGACGACCTTCCGTGATTCTCTGCACCTTCTCTCCCGCAAACTTCACGGTTCTTCAAAGTTTACAACATGGTCGTGGCAACAATTAAGTGCGTTGTTCTCTTCATCATCTTATCCCTTTCTCTCCGCAATCACTTTCCCCCCCTCCTCCTCTCTTTCCCCTCCCCCATTCGAACCCTCCTTCCTCTATCCTGCTTCTCCCTCTCCTTTCTCCGTGCAAACCTATACATTCATTCTTTCTTCGAGCGACAAGTGGCTGACCATGATTTGACTTTTGTCGCAGATGTGTTGTCGTCGGTGACGGTGCCGTTGGCAAGACCTGCCTTTTGATCTCCTACACGACGAACAAGTTCCCTTCCGAATATGTTCCCACGGTGTTCGATAACTATGCCGTCACGGTCATGTAAGTTAGGGACCTCCTATCTTGAGACATGGTTTTCATATCGGGACTCTGTCGGAGTGCGCTATATCACGCTCGCAATAGCGTTATTGGTGCACCCGATGTCGCTGGCTCGACAAATGCGATGGCGTCTGTGGACAAATATCGGAATCTGCAACTGACTCGAACCCCGTTGCGCAATAGGATTGGCGATGAGCCCTACACCCTGGGATTGTTCGATACTGCTGGTCAGGAGGATTACGATCGCCTCCGTCCTCTTTCGTACCCTCAGACGGATGTCTTCCTCGTTTGCTTTTCGGTCACTTCGCCTGCCTCCTTTGAGAACGTACGCGAAAAGTGGTTCCCCGAGGTGCACCACCACTGCCCCGGTGTCCCCTGCCTGATCGTGGGCACCCAAACCGATCTTCGCGACGATCCCGCGGTCCGCGAGAAGCTTTCCCGCCAGAAGATGCAACCGATTCGCAAGGAAGATGGAGACCGTATGGCCAAGGAGCTGGGCGCAGTGAAATACGTCGAGTGTTCTGCTCTCACGCAGTACAAGCTCAAGGATGTTTTTGACGAGGTTAGTGTCGCGCCACATCCCGCATCGTCGCATCTACTCACACATCTTTACTCTAGGCCATTGTTGCCGCGCTCGAGCCTGCTCCCAAGAAGTCGAAGAAGTGCGTCCTGTTGTAATTGATCCCGGGATCTTACAGGGCAGGCCCGTACGCTCCGGAGGGTTCCAGGCCTGTCATTGATGCATCGCAGACACGTCGTATGATTTTGGGAGACTGAATGTGCTTTATCTATGCAATATGGAGTTTTGGGGATTCTTTCGTACAAAGGTGGCTGGCTTCTTCGACCGACGTCTGACTTGACATTCTGTGTTCGTTCACTGATTCTTGAGTGAATACACATCTTACAACCCGTAACACCCAAGTGTGCTCTTCCCTCTTCGCTCGGTTGTCTCTGCGCTGCTGAGCCTTGTCTACCTCAAGCAGACCTGCCATCGAGAGCTCTTCCTCATTCTATCGGAACCTCTTGTCTCCTGACTTTCGTCTCGTCCCACCTGGCCAGCGTCGTTTCTTGATCCTCCGACCTTCATTATCCCCTCACTGTGTTCCCTCCACCTTTTTTCCCCACTGTCAACTCCTCCCTAAACTACCCCCATTTCACCTTCTACCAACACGTTTCCACAACCCCACACACACACCCACCTTTTCTCTTCCTCAAACAACCCCCCCTTTACTCCCTTTCGAACCTCTCATCGTCTCTATCGGCGTTGGAAGTCGAGGCGTCTTGTTTTGGCTGGCTGATGGTTTTTTCTTTTTTTCTATCTTCTTTTTTTATGTCCCTCATACTCTGCGATCTGTTATCATGCCGATCCCATCCGTCCCAAATTTGCTGTGCAATTTGTTCTCCCGAGCTGCAGCCCTTTATTTTTCTTTTTCCTTTTCTTTGCTCATTGTCTTCAAAGCCTGGACTAGATAACAGATACAATAGTGATGACCAAGTTACCCACCCCTTTATATATTATGGTTAGATGTTGTGTTGTTGTTGTTGTTGTTGTTGTGGTTGTTGTTACTGGTTCGTGAGGTAGTAGTTAATTGTTTAGTCTGGTCTATATAGTATCTAGTATTTGCTGATATGGATTTATTTACCTATTCGATGAGTTGATTGAGTTTACAGTAAGATTACTTAGACTTAGGAGTATGTTATGTATTTCATGATGTACCTGCATCAGGCTTGACTAGTAACTCAACTCATTCATTATACATACATACATTCACATAACTTCATATCGTATATCTCATTTACAACTCATCCTTGGCCTCTTTCTTCTCCACAGCTTTCTCTGCCTCCTCCTCAACAACAGTCTCCTCCACCGGCGTCACCTTCCGTCCATACCATCCGCCCAACTCTTCACCCGCACCAGCCTTAACCATGCTAGTAATGATCTCAAACGCCACCTGCGCAGCCGCCAAGGCCGTAGTCTCGCCCTTGTTATCATAGCTAGGAGACACCTCGACGATATCGGCGCCAACAATGTTCAGCTTCTCAATGCCGCGCAGGATGCGAATGAACTCGCGGGTCGTCCAGCCACCAGGCTCGGGGGTACCAGTTCCGGGGGCAGTGGCGGGGTCCAGGACGTCGATGTCAACGGACAGGTAGACAGGCTGGTCGGAGTCCAGACCGATGCGCTCGATGATGCGGTTCACAATGCCCATCGGGCCGAGGTCGTCGATGTCGTCGGCGTGGATGCGCATGAATCCCTGCTCCGGGCCCGGGTTGGTGTAGTCGCTGTCGTCGACGCCGGTCAGACGCGTGCGGAGACCAGCGTGCGCGGAGGTAGAGTTGCAGATCAGTCCCTCGCGACTGGCTTTGTGGAAGAAACTGCCGTGGTTGAAGTGCGCTTGTTCGGAGGTCCAGTAGGCTGAGTAGCGCACGGGGTTCCAGGTGTCCAGGTGCGCGTCGAAGTGAAGCACCGTGATGGGCTTCTGGTAGATTTGGTACAGCGCGCGGAGTGCTGGTAGTGCGACACTGTGGTCGCCTCCCAATGTGACGAGCTTCGATTTGCCCGCTGAGATGCCCTTCGTGCCGTACTTGGAGGACGCGGTGGTCAGGGCCGGGCGAGAGCCCAGTTCCAGGAAGGCTTCGTACATCTGCCGCTCCGCAACGCCATTGTCAAATGGGGTGATCGGGATGTCGCCGCAGTCTTTGACTGTCGCCCATGAGGCGTAGGGGTTGATCCCCGCTCGGGTGTTGTAGCTCGTGCCGGCCATTTGGCGGGCGCTAGCTGCCCGGATGGAGCGCGGACCAAAGCGAGCGCCTGGAGGGGTGTTAGTGGTTTGGGGGGCAGACTGTGAGGTTATTGGGTGTCTTACCTGGTCTGTAGCTGACTGCCGTGTCGAAAGGGGCTCCGATGACGGCGATGTCGTACCGTTCGTCGGGTTCGATCAGGCATTTGACTGGCTTCAGGTGGGCAAAGCTGGCAATGCCGGAGAAGGTGAACTGAAATGGTGTGTGAGTGAATGCGAAATAGGTGGTTTGGGACTGGGATGCCTACCTCCTGGTCCCATTTCCTCAGCAACTCCTCGCGCACATGCTCTGGCACCTCTTCGTGGTCATGGTGAGCGTGGGCAAAGGCTGTACCAGCCAGTGCCAGGCAAGCAGCCCAAGTGAGGGATTTCATGACGGGATTGAGGACCTCACTCGAGAGTATTGGGGGTGTAAGAGAGATAGGGAAGAGAAGAAAAGGGGGAAAATTCGGAGCAGCAACCGGAGAGGACTAAATAGCGGTGGTAGTCGCGTTGACATAAAAAATACATGCCATGAATAGAATAGTAATAATAATGGCCACTGGGGGATGATGGGCCTTTATCTCTTATCGATATGGAGATTGACCCTCATTGGCCAGGATATGGCCGTAAAGGGAAATATTGATGCCTTTGTGCCTGGCGTCACTGACGTCGTGCGGACCTTCCCTTTTTGGTCAACTTCTTCATCGTCTCAATGCGGAAGGAACACCCTTGACCCCCATTTCTCGCCTCGTCCATTGGCTGCGTTGAGCTTCACCACTTCATCTCTTCCATCTTCTTCCATCCATTCATTCTAGTCTCTCCCGCTTTTCCCCAACATCGGTATAGTGTCTGCAGTCTGCGGAGACCAACCACCCGCAGCGAGACTAGACGTGAAGTACCTCGACCATAGTAATCACGTACAGTGTATCCCCAGAATGCCATGCGTCGTGTTGTCGTGACTGGTCTTGGAGCAGTGACACCTCTAGGAGTAGGTGAGTGATGCCTCCATGCGCAATTAAGCATGTCCCAAACAACCTCGTCATGGCCGTGGTTCTACCATCTTTTTTTTCGGTCCCCAGCGTCTCCACTTCCACTTCCACTCTTCCGGAAAGGGAAGGCCTTGCACTACCTCATATCCATGCCCAGGAAGGCAACTGTACACGATCAATGCTCTTGCTATATTTGCTAAGTAATTTCTCGTAGGTTTCCGTCGTACTTGGAAACGTCTCCTGGATGGTCACTGTGGCATCGTCAATGTCAACCATCGCGATACCAGGTTTGCAGATCTGCCATGTCAGATCGCAGCAGTGGTGCCGCAAGGTGCACGAAAGGATGGATGTTGGACGGCTTCGGAGTGGTTAAGTCGAGATGTAGGCATACTATAGTGCTTATTAGGATTGTAACTGATGTCCTGCAGGAGGAGCGCAAGATGGCTCGGTTCGCTCAGTATGCCATGGCTGCGTCAGAAGAAGCTCTCGAAGACTCGGGCTGGAAGCCTACAGATTTTGAACAACGAGAAGCTACTGTATGTATTGTCGGTGCTTTTCGACATCATCTCGATAACTTTTTGCCAGGGAGTCTGCCTTGGGTCAGGCATTGGCAACTTTGATGAGATTTACGACACAGTTGTTGCATATGACAAGGGGGTCAGTACGACATGTCTATCATCCATTTGCCATGCTCACAAGTCATAGGGCTACCGCAAAGTATCACCTTTGTTCGTACCGAAGCTTCTGATCAATCTCGGGGCTGGACACATCTCCATGAGGTATGGATTCATGGTAAGTGCATTTCCTTACGCCTGGTCTTCCACTGCTAATGATATAGGGTCCAAATCACTCAGCAACAACGGCTTGTACAACTGGGGCTCATTCTATAGGCGATGCTGCCCGCTTCATCGCGTTCGGTGATGCAGATGTGATGTTGGCCGGCGGAGCAGAGTCTTGTATTCATCCGCTAGCAGTCGGAGGTTTTGCTCGAGCCCGCAGTTTGGCTACGAGCTTTAATGATTCGCCTGAAAAGGCATCAAGACCGTTTGACTCGGATCGTGAGGGTTTTGTGGTCGGTGAAGGCGCGGCAATGTTGGTCTTGGAGGTATTTCCCAAAACAGACGCTTACTGATGGAACCTTTCTAATCTGTTGTCAGGAACTCGAACACGCAAAAGCAAGAGGAGCTCGAATCTATGCCGAATTGAGGGGCTACGGCTGTTCTGGTGATGCACATCATATGACAGCACCTAAGGAGAACGGCGAAGGCGCATTCCTAGCCATGAGGAAAGCTCTGAAAAACGCTGGACTCCCACCTTCCGCAGTCGACTATGTCAATGCACATGCCACCTCGACCGTGGTCGGAGATGCAGCAGAAAACGCTGCCATCAAGTCCTTGCTCCTGGGACCGGGAGGAAAGCAACGGGCGACGGAGGTTAACATTAGTAGCACCAAGGGAGCCGTCGGCCATTTGCTCGGTGGTGCAGGCGCCATTGAAGCCTTGTTCTCGATTCTCGCCGTTAACGAGGTAAGCGACCCTGGTAAACATGACATAACACTGCTAACGCCGAGACCAGAATGTGATGCCACCTACAATCAATCTGGAGCGGTTGGCTGATGGGTTTGACTGCAACTATGCCCCGAAACAGGCCCAGGAGCGCACCATTGACGTGGCTTTAACAAACAGTTTTGGATTTGGAGGAACGAACAGTAGTTTGTGCTTCTCGAAGCATGCAGGGTAGGCGGATTGTATATCATATGATATTGGCGGGTTTGCATATTGCATTGCATTGTATCAATAAACATGTACCACAAGGCGGATGTAACTGCCAGTCATATTAAAGTAACACGTTTAACTGGCCAACGTGGACAGTGACAGCCATTTCACATAATCAAGCATGTAAGAGGGTTTTTTTCTCACTCAACACCATCATGAAGAATAGTTGTGTTAGTCTCCAAGTAAGCCGACTTGAACCCATCCATCATCCCTCCTTACTCATGATCCACTCACCGCAGCCTCCTTCAACACAACAAAGGAATCAACCGAAACACAGCGACCACAATACCCCAAACAAACCTCACTAAACTCTCATTCATCATTCAACAATAACATCTCCAAGCAAAACTATTTCACACCAATAACCCAGACGTTCACACCCCCTCCACCCGACCACCACTTAACGAACCACCCACGTGACCTCCCCAAATGCGGAGCGCCCCGGACTGTGAGTGAGAGAGTGAGAGAGAGCGTGCTCAGCGCAAGCCTCGACCAACTAAGATACCGCACCTCCCCCAGCAACGTCACCGTCCCCCTTTTTCCTCACGGTCGGAGCTAGATACATAGCTTTAATTACAATCATACTCTATTCTGTTTTCCATTTCCTTGACGATATCGCTCCTTGAATTCCGACGGTCGAGAGAGAAAGCGCGCGCGCGTGTGTGGGTGGTCGGTCGTTTCGTTTCATAATCATGGCTACTGCTACCGGCGGCAGAGGTCCGTTATAGGCACCCCCCTCTCCCCTCCATCCCTCCGGATAATCCCACCACGCAATGATGATTTAGGGGAAATCCACGAAGATACTCGCTGTTATATTTACGAACCATGCTAATACTGGTGTAGTAGCGTCCTCTGCCTCTTCTACCCCGGCGGGGAGTCTGGTCGATGCGTCGGGGTATAAGTATGCCGAGAAGGATACCAAACCTGGGAAGATTAAGTTGAAGAAGTCGGCGGCGAATGCTAAGTCCGGGAAGAAGAAGGGTGATGGTTTGTTTTGTCCCTTTGCCTTTCCCCTTGGTCTGGGGATGGGGTTTAGTGGTGGTATGCTGATGGAAGTTGTTGCGAGGTTTATAGTGCCTGAATCCCCCGGTTCCTCGTCGCCTATATTACCCGATATCGATGAAAAGACTATGGCTGCGTTCCCGACGGGGAAGCCCCGCGAAGAAGATCATCTCGAGACGGTCATCTGTAAGACGTGCAAGAGGCCGGTGTTGAAGCAGAATGCGGTGGAACATATTCGGGGTTGTATTCGCGCGAAGCAGGAGAAGGCCAGGAAGAAGAAGGAGGCACGAGATGCGGCGAATCGCGCAAAGGAGAAGGGTGATAAGGACGGTGATGAAGATGTGGGTGCTGGTGAGAAGGGTGAGGGTGGTGAAGATTCGATGAAGGGTCAGAAGAGTGCGAAAAAGTCCGCTGTTAAGGGGATGGCGGAGGATGGGACGAAAAAGGGGAAGAAGCGCAAGACGGAGGCCGGTGAGGATGATAAGGATAAGGAGCCGAAGAAGAAGAAAAAGAAGGAGGAGCCCAAACCGAAGGTGCCTAAACCGAAGGGCCCTGTTGATGTTGAGAAGCAGTGTGGTGTTACTTTGCCGAATGGTGCGCAGTGCGCTAGGTCGTTGACTTGTAAGAGTCATTCGATGGGCGCGAAGAGAGCCGTTCCGGGGCGTTCCTTGCCGTATGATATGCTGTTGCAGGCGTATCAGAAGAAGAATCAGGCGAGGCAGCAGAGTAAGTGGTTTTGTGGCTTATGGTGCCCGAGTCTGGGCTTGGTTGAATAATGCTAATGCTGGTTTCTACAGAGGCTGCTATCGATGCGAACGCTCCGCTACAAGATGATTTGGATAACAATGGGCCTGTTGACTCGGACGAAGAGAAAGATACTGTCATGGCGGCCATTTCTCGCTCTCATCCATACCCGATGGTGACTCATACGTTGATCTCGACGAAGAAGAAGTACCAATATGTGCGCATCAAGGAGATGCTGTCCCATGCATTGGGTGGTTCACGCGGTGGCGGGCTCTTCTCGACAGGAGATACTCTCTCCTCTCCGTTTCCGGATGGCGGCAGCCTGTTCACCCCTGTAGAGGAGGTGTCAGTGCCCGAGCCTATGGCCGTGGATGAGCCGGAGCCGGCAGAGACGCAGGAAAATGCGACAGATGCTGGTGCGAAGACACCGGCACCTGAAGCCAAGAAGGTGCCTGTGGCGGCTAGCTCGTAGAGCTCTCGCTGGGTAACGAGTGATGAAAGGCTCCCAGGATCGGATATACATATAGCCCGCTTATGGGCAGGGAGTTTGGGCGATGCTTGATGGCGTTTCTGGAAGGGTTTTGGGTCTTTTGGTTTGCTATTCGATAAGATACCCCGCGCTCAGTCTTGCTGGCGTGCATTATTGTAAATTAAGTCGGTGCTTCTTTGGCCCTATTGATAGAATGAGATTCATTCTGCATGCTAAGTCTTTTTTCATGGCTGTTGGGTAATACATCAATGCAAAGTCTACGGCATTTACTGTGCTTGCATGAAGTCAATAAAAACGCCATTCTCCACCGTGGTATCGCCTTGTCAGGCGACAAGAACGGCAACGTGATGCCTCAGGCCACCAAGTATCTCCGAACCTCCGCAGATGGGAGTCAAAGCTACCCTCGTTACCTCAATGCGCCTGCTCTCACTTTCCCAACCAACGCCAACTCACCACCACCACGCCCCTATATAGTTCTCCTTCTACGCACCTACTGCTGAGCACCTTTTGCGCCTTGCGCCTGCGGGCGAGAAGCTCTACCACCAGCGTGACCACCATTTCTCCAGACCATTATTCCTCATAACCTCACCCACTCCTCCCCTCCTCCCATACAGAAATATTCAGTCCGACCACAATGAGCAACTCAGTCCCCGATCTCGATGCCGTCGGCATCAAAGCAGACCCCGAACTCGCCGACCAATTCCGTCGCGAAGTTGCCACCCTCCTCGGCCGCAATAATCTCAACTTCCCCGGCGCGCAACCCGTCAGTTTCTCGACACGGCATCTGACCGAGCTCCAACGAGAAGATTACTACGTGTGCGAAAAGACCGACGGAATTCGATGTTTGATGTACTTTGCGCGGGGCGAACCGGATTCCGACACTCCTGAAATCCACTACTTGATTGATCGCAAAAACGACTACCGCTACGTCCCGGGCTTGCATTTCCCTTTACCGGACGATGACACGTTTCAGCGCTTCCATGTCGATACGCTGGTCGACGGCGAGCTGGTCAATGATACCTACGAGGATGGCACGCAGCAGCTCAAGTACCTTGTGTTTGACTGCTTGGTGCTCGATGGGCAAAGTTTGATGCATCGGACGCTGGATAAACGGCTCGCGTACTTCAAGGAGAAGGTGCTCAAGCCGTATAATGCGCTGTATGATCGGTTTCCCGAGGAGAAGCAGCATCGGATCTTTGCCGTGGAGGATAAATCGACGCAGTTTAGTTACGGCATTGAGATGATGTTTCGGGATATTATCCCCAAGGTGAAGAAGATTCATGGCAATGATGGCTTGATTTTTACTTGTCGGAGTACCCCCTATCGCATCGGTACGGATGAACATATCCTCAAGTGGAAACCGCCTAGTGAGAATACTATCGATTTTCGAATGCGCTTGGAGTTTCCCCTGTTGGAACCGGATTCGGACGATGAGGCTGAGGGTGTTACGGAGCCGTATTACGATTATGATGCCTTGCCTATCTTTCATCTGTTTGTTATGCTCAATTCGAATGAGTACCGCCCCTTCGGGGAGATGTATGTCTCGCCGGAGGAGTGGGAGAATATGAAGGCGCTGCAGCAGCCGTTGGATGATGCGATTGTGGAGTGCGCTCAGGATGAGCAGGGGCGCTGGCGGTTTCATCGCATTCGGGATGACAAGGCGGATGCGAATCATATCTCGACGGTGGAGAAGGTGCTAGAGAGTATCCAGGACCGGGTGACGGAGGAGGATCTGATTCGGGTGGCTCCTGCGATCAAGACGGCGTGGAAGAAGCGACAGGCACAGATGTCGGAGCGAGGAAGACCCGGCAGTACGGCGCAGGTTAATGGGAGTAATGGGGTGAAGCGGAAGTTTGAGGAGTAGTTTTGAATCCCTTGAGAAGTCATGCTGCTAAGGGGTGATGCTTTGACTGATTCGGTTTGCGAGGCGTTTGGCGTTGGTTGGTTGGTGATGGGGATGTCTCATCTCATTTGCTGGGGGGTGATGATTGTAACTGTGTATAGATAATGTGAGATGGGCAAGAGAGGATTATGGCTAAAACGGGCTGGGCGGGTTTTGTATAATGCAATGCAATCTTTACTTTAGATGATTTGTTTGAATACGAAAGTACGATGTGTAGAGCTATCTCCAAAGGGATATCAAAATAGCCAAGCTGCAACTAATACCCTCCACCCACTAGCATCATAGTAGAATTCTGCACTATCAGACGAAAGAGATCTTAAACTCTACCACATAAATACTAGTATACTACTTACGGAGTAGATACTTAAGGGGTATCTGAAGAATTCCACCAAGTCACTGCACCAAGCCACTGCAACCTGGCGCAGCTGACTGACATCCACATAACTTCCACCTGAGTACCGAGTATGTATGGAATATACTAGTAAGAACTATACATAGCTTGCACACCCTTAACAAACAAACACATACCCCCAATTTTTTCCCCAAAGAACCATGCAGGCTACTCCAGTTACCCCATACTTCACTACGTATCCCGCCAACAAACAAAACGCACAGAGCCTCGCAAGCCCGGATTGGACTGTGGAGAAAAACATACAGTACATGTAGCCGATCATGCAACTCCCATGAACTAGATCGTACTTAAATATTTTTAGTGTGGGGCATAATTAGGGGTGGGAAATGGTTCATCCATCCATTCATTTATTCGTTCGTTCGTTCGTTCGTCATACGGAGTTACTTGACCAGTGGGTTGGGTCGAGCTTGTTCGTGAATATAGGGCTAGTATGTAGCATGATGCTTTCGAGATTCGGAGTATCTGTATGTATGTATCTCGTATATTTTTACTTTACTTGCTTTCTTTCTTGGGGATTATTGTTTGTGTTACACGAAGAGAGTTCGGGGTACGAGGGATAAGGACGGATGGGGTAAATTGTGGAGAGTTGCCATGTCCTGTGAGTAGTTGGGTTGATAGTTACTATGTTATTGAGTAGGAGGTAAGTTATTTGGTGATTACGTTGCAATGGCTGGCTGACTGGCTGGTTGGTAATGAATCCAGGGGGAGGTGTGGGTGAAGCTGCTGTGGGAGTAGTAGTAAAACAAAGCAGGGGCTGGCTGCTTGCTGGCTAGCAAGTACGTACGTAGCAGGGCTTTTACTGAAATGAGTTGGACGGAGTTGTGGAGAGAGAGTGTGTGTGTGCGTGTGTTTTTTTGCCACGGAGTGAAATGGCAATGAAGGCAGCAATCCTGTGGGATGGATGAATGAATGGATCGAAGGATTGGTGGGTTAAACTAAAGAGGTAAAAAGTAGTAGTAGCAGTGCTTCGTACTTTCTGTCAGGACTTGTTTAGTGCTGTTAGTTGGTGTGTTTCTAGAAGGTGAGGTGTCCAGGGAATGGGGCGAGAGGAGAGGAGAGATCACATCATGGATGATGAAGGATTACGTGGTCTGATCCATTCATTTACTCCATACTACTACTGTACAGTAATCGCCACTGTAGCGGTACTAACTGGATTATGGGATATTCTGCACGATGGAGTATTCTAGGGCTTCTAGTCTATTCAGTATTTAGTATTACTCGCTGCCTTTCCCGGAACTCAGGCTGAATTGCCCCGAAGTCGATCACTAGAAGAAAAAAAAAAAGGTATGGGGAAAGAACGGAGTAGATAGTAGTATCTAGTGAAATATGGAGAACCGAGTAAGTAGAAACCATTTTTTCAAAAACCACTGGGAAGTAGTAACTCCAGCCATTGAACTACTAGTCAGTTCCTTTTTGACCCTTGTTTTCTCCACATCTGCACACGTAACAGTAAACTAGTCTAGTCTGCATCTCTGCTTTCTTTCCCCAAAATCCACCCCCAACTCCCCTTCCCCATCCTTTTTTGTCTTGTCTTGTCTTGTCTTGTCTTGTCTTGTCTTGTCTTGTCTTGTTCTGTTCTGTTCTTTCTCCGGGCTGATCTCTTTTCCCCAGCCAAAGTCAAATCCCCCATTCATTTCAATCCCCGGGACAGTTTCCGTCTTTCCGTCCTTCCGTCCAAGCATGCCCCATGCCCACTCAGTCCTACCATACCATCCCGCCTTGCCCAGACGTAGCAAAAACAACTGGGGTAGTACTTAGTAGTTATGTGGTGGGTTCTGGCCTGGACCCGACTTTCTGGGTCCATCTGCCGCCGCCTGGCTCCGGGGGTTGTTGTTCAAGGGTGAGGCGGTTGTTCCTTTTTTTTTTTTTTTTTTTTTCTTTTTGGTTTCGGTTTCGCCTCGCAACGGGAAGGGATGGATGTATCCTTCCATCCAATCCTTAGGTTCCTTTCTCGTTCTCCTTTATTCGGTAGTACGTAGCAAGCTATTTATTGCTTAGTAGGGTTGTAGGTTAGGTGTACCTGAGTCGTGGTGGTAGTACTAGAAGGAAAAAGGTATTTTAGGCGGGTATTTCTTCTTGCTCTGTCTGCAATTTCTCTTCCCATTCTTCTTCTCTTCAAACGTTCTTCGTCCTCTCTTGGAGTACTAATCGGTTCTTAGTACTTGATAGTTATTTGGTTCCCGTACATCTTCACTCTGTTCTACTCCAAGTGAGGCACTTTACCATCCACCATCCACCACTATAGTCAGCACCAACAACCAAACTATAGCCTATACAGAACAATAGTGAAGAAAGAGAAGAGGTAAGCCAATTATTCCCTCTTTCTTTCTTTTTTTTTTTTTTTTTTCCCTTTTTGCCCTTGCACAACACACCATCATCACATCACCACTCAATCAAACACGGACAAAATCCTCGGCTTAGAGGAGGAGGATTGAGATTGAGGACCCTCATGAGAGAATAAACTGGATCCATTCATCCACCCACCCATCCATCCAGTCATCTATTACTTTTTTGATTTAACCTCGGCGGTTTTCGGAGCAAAGCATGATATCTTTACTCCGGAGGATCTATATCGGCATACATCCCATCCATTCATCACATATGATATTTCCTTTTCTTCTTTGCTTCTTCCCACTCGGTTATATATATATATATATATATGTTCTACATATGCACATGCAGGACACAGATCATTGACATGATTCTTCTATAGGAACTTAACATACTACCATCACTACTACTATAAACTCTGTTCCTGATCACCATATACTACTACCTTCATTCTACACAACCAACAACTACACAACTCTTCATCTCTCTACATTAAAGATTGAAAGTGGAAACCATCAAAATGTCTCCCTCCCGCTGTCCAACACCACCCTCCACATCCACATCCACCTCAACAACAACTACAACACGGAGACCTCACCTCTCCCTCCCCCTCTCCCAAGATACCATCTCCCGCGCCATCCTCTCCGCCACAACACACATCCCCAAGGCGATTTCCATCGACACTACCACACCTACACCTCCCACCTCTCCATCATATCACACAGAAGGGAAGCTACCCTTGGAATGGGAATTCCCCCTGCCGCCACCGCCGCCTCCGTCGCCTGTGGAGATGAGGAGGTTTTGGGCTTGAAGCTTTCCCACCCCTTCTTCTTTTCGCCTACTATGCTAGGATGATGGATGAAGCTAGGTTAAGGGGTTTAGTGGATACGTTGGGGTTGGTTTTCTTCTATTACTTTCATTGACATTTGATTTGATATTCATGGAATGGGGTTTAGCGTTGGTTGATTTGTTGGTATTGGTTTGGATAATTGCATCGTCTCATGGATGGATGGTCGGATGGATGGATGGAAATTGGGGTGTTTGGTGATAATGTGATTGATTACTTTTTTTTTTTTTTCTTTTTTTTTTTTTTTGCTTTATTTCAAGTGTTCGGGTTTGATTTAGCTGTCTATTTGTTACTATTTGAAGTTACTGGGAATAGATGTGTATACTATTATCGTTACTCGTTCTATTGGGAGAGAGAGTCTTTACGGTAGTAGTTCGGTATCTCGTTCATCATGATCACATTCATCCTTCATAGTACAGTGTATATAGTCACAGTATAGTATACCCACATACTGCATCAAATCGACGCTATCACATGTAGGGATTTCTCATAGTAGAAGAAAATCAAGATTCACCTTCAAATCAAGGATGTACCTTGCAGCTCCCTAAGGAAAAGAATCCGCTGACGCCATCACGCCGCAAACCGGTTCGTACGACGCGCATCAACTGCCATATTCAGTTCGGTGGAAACTTTGCCGCGGATGATGATGATCCTGACTTAATGCACCCATCAGTGTTGGGGTGAGCAAGCTTCTTCCCGGCCCGAGTTTAAGGTCTTGTTCTGCAGTGGGACGAACGCATGTGTCGTTGAGCCTGACCTCGGTCGATCTCGGTCGGAGCATCGGATGTTCCAAGCTAAGGCACGTGACGTGTCTGCTTCAGTGTACATGACTTTTGTGAACTATCCTATCCGATCCGAAGGTCTGGTCGGGTCGGGTCTGGATCATCGTAGATCAATCATGTTCAAAAGTACTATGATTGACCTTTTTTTTTAGTCAGTGTTCAGTGTGGTTTCGTATCGCGGAAGTATATTTCCACTGATAGGAAACTTTCCCTCTCATGTAGCTAAGCTTAGCTTAACACACTCAAGAGGAACCAGCCAAACAAGCCCCATGGGATTAAGATTGAGATACGAAGTAAGAGGGTTCTTATTGTCCCAGCTCATCCTCATTCTCATCAATCTCTTCTTCTTCATCTTGTCCGCCCAACCGCGAATAAAGTCCCTCCAGCTCCGCCATGGCGTTCGCATCCCCGGATAACGCCAGCTCGTTTAACCGTTGAATCTGTGCCAGCTGTTCATCGGTACGAGCCCAACCACGTAGCCGATCCTCCAGATTCGTCATGCGTTTGGTGCTGAATGTTGTCCGCACGGCGTCGGTCTCGCCTTTGCTGCGTTTCAGGCTGGCAAGGCGGTCTAAGAATCGTGCTTGATTGGTTTGCGGGGCGTTTTTGCGGATGACACCACCGCCCTGAGTGGTGGTGCTGTCGCTGGGTTGTTCTGCTGCGGCGGCGGCAGAATCCGCGGCGTAGACGTTGGAGGACGAGCTGGATATGAGATTCGCTTTGCGACCGAGGATTTTCACGCTGTTGGCTGCGAGGAGGTCGTAGTTTGGGGTGTGGCGGAGCGGGATCACCGGACTACTACTACTAGTGAAGGAGGGGTCTGCATCGTGCGGTGGTGAGGAGGATGAGTCCTCAGGACGCGCGATGAGTAGCTCCGTGCCGATTTGGTCGGCCCAGGTACCGCTGAAGATTTGGTTCTGGTAGGAGATGATGGGGTTGGGGGTGTGAAGGCCTAGGATTTGGACACGGTCGGCGATGGAGGGGTTGTTGGGGTCCGCTTCGGTGCTGGAGAGAGCAGCGTCGGGTTGGTCATCGTGATGATTTTGATTCTGATTCTGGGAAGGTGTGGATGGACTGGAGGTGGGGAGGGAAGAAAGATCTTGTGGTTGTCGGCGACGAGGGGGGCGGATGGGACCGTGGAGGGAGGTGAGGTCGAGAGTCAGATAGACAGTCTAGTGATGGTGAGATGGGGACTTGTCAGCATCACAACCAAGGCAGCATGGGTAGCTAGACTGCCAAGGTGAGGACGAACTTCTGTTTCGGTGGGATGATATTCGTATTCATATTCGGAATCATCATCGTCTTCGGGGTGGACCAGACTGGAATCGGCCAGCATGGCTGGATCCAGCATTAAGGGAGTGGGGAGGGCCATGGATGCAGCTGGCGACAACCGTGAGCAAGCAGCTAAAGTGATAGGATGATGGTAGAATTATCAAGTTGGGAGGAATGATTGGATTGATTGGCAGGGCGGCAACTAATTCGCGGCGGCGCCCGACGATCCAGACTTGGCGGTGAATCACTCCACTGCAAGCTGTTGCAGCCAGTCATCATCCTGGATTCTTCCCATAACTTCTCGTGATTGATTGATTGTTAGTAGCTAGCTAGCTACCTTAGTATGATAGAATGCAGCAGAAGAGGCAGTAGTCTAGAGGCAAGAGGCAGAAGAAGACCCTGCTGACTATCGGGTTTGTCATCTCATCAGGCATCCATGAGAGGCTGAGGGCTGACAGAACTGAACCCTTAGACTTTACGACCCTGAGGATCCATCAATTCCCGTAATCCAATTCATCCCAGTTCCAGTCCCTTCTTTCTTTCTCTCTTCTCCATCAGCTCCAGTTTTCACCTTCCAGCTCCAGTTTGACTGACGGGGTTATTTCTCCTCTTGTCTTAGCCAGAGTGCTCTGCTGCATCCATCGCAGCTGTGAGTCCCTGCTGGATGATCGACCGGATGACTTCATCCCCCCCTTCTTGCATCATCATCACCAATTCTCCTTGTCATTCCAATCCGGTTGCAGTTGTGAACTTGGTCATTCCATCTAGATAGTACACAGTACACAGTACACACAAGGCACAGTAAAAAAATACTAATTCAGTTTTTCATCATTACTCAATATTCCGACCTGAATTGATCCATCCATGATCAGTGAGTCCACCTGATTCATTCACTCAGTCAATGGCCCCTCTTTTCTTCCGTGTGTTCCGTACTTCTTTTCCCCCCTCTCACTCTCATGCCCACTCACTCTCTCACCGTATCGCTGTTCTGCCTTTCTTCCTCTCTTTTTTACTATGACGATCCGGCAACCGGCGGAAGCCAAATCCAAGCTGCATCCGTCGTCTTCCCATTCGAACCCGTGCCTCATCATCCATTATCTAATCCGCTTCCGTGCGAGCCGATCTATTGCTGCTGCTCCCAGCAAATTCCTGTGCTGGACTCGGCCACTCCAATGCCCGAATTTCCCTGTTCTTCCCTTCCCCCCTCCCCCCCCCTTCAGCCCTAAACATCCACTATCACATCCCGCGGCCTTGTTGTTTGTCTGCCCTACCAATCGTCCCATCATGACCAATTACTCATGGCCCTCATGGCCAATCACTACCCAATTCTGTCCCCTTCTGTACCATCATGTTGACCTTCCGAGACCCGTTCCTGCTGTTCTCGACCCTTCCCGGCTGACTGACAATGTCATCGCGCCTGCCCGCTGCTGCTTCTTATAGTGTCTCCTCCGCTTCCTTTACTTCCGGGCTCAAATGCCCGGCTCGGTCGCTTTTCTCCCTCTCTGCTGCTGCTGTCGCTGCTTCTACTGTCGCAGTCGCTCTGTCATCCCTCCCCCCTCGGCTCGGATGCCTCTCGTCCTCTTGCAATTTCCCCCGAGGATTCCTCCGTGACCGATCTGGCCGGCAGCCTGGTCGCTGCAGCTCCTCCCACCTCAGCTGTCCCGATTGGGAATCTGGTCACACTACCCCCGTCCACCACTTCTACTCCCGGTGATCAGTCCGGGTTAGTGGTGCCCCCCTCGTCGCGTTCCAGTTCCTCCGATCTTGAAGCTTCCCCCGGCATCGTGCAGCAGATGATTCGCTCCACCAGGGTTGCCATTGTCACCCTCGCCTCATTGATTGCCTATGTCTTGATCAACAGCGCCGCGCGCGCCGTAAATCCGTCGGCTTTCATCTGGTATGCTGAGGATCATGACGAGCAGAGCTGGATTGCCTCCTCGCCGTCCTGGCTGGATCGCAAGGCCTGTCGGTGGCTCGGCATGTGCGGGACCGCCCACTTCCGCCTAGTGCGGGCCCGCTACGGCCAGCGCGAGCCCACTTTGGGACCCTGGTCGCCCGATGACGAGGCCCACTACGCCGCCTGGCGCGATGCGCAATTCAACGACTCCCAGCAGCCCGCATGGGATGAAGCCGAACGCTCGCGTCGGCAAATCCCCGAGTATGTCTTCCAATATGCGCCGTTGGTTTACCTGTCCTCGCATGAGCAGTTTTGGCCTGGCGACATTGCCGAACATCTTTACCACGTCACCCCGATGCTGAACTACACCCCCATTCAATCGGATGAGGAGCATCCTACCTTGCAGGACCTCGATCAGCTGAACGAGTGGCAGGAAGGTGAGTTCGTGTACTTGACTAGCAACGACAATGTAGAGGATCGCCCGCCATGGATTGAAGGCGAGAAGAATATTCCCGACGATCCAGATGACGATCTTGAGCTGTCTTGGCCTGACTGGGATGGCCGGATAGACGGGCCTATTCCTGGGGACACGCCAGAGGAACGCTCCCAGTGGTATGACACAGGCCGTCTCTCATCATCGAAGGGAGAGGATGACAGTTGGTCTCCGGAAGATCTGGGGTATCTCCGCCCGGAAGACCTCGCTGACGAGGATGTCCGAACCGAGTTGCGCAAACGGTTCGGCGGCGAGCCTATTCACGTCGAAAAGACTGGCGGGCGCAGTAACGCTCCGGCAATTCTGCTGGTGATGGACAAAGGCCACGGCGTCGTAGATGCGTTCTGGTTTTATTTCTACAGCTTCAATCTGGGCAACGTAGTGCTGAACGTGCGGTTCGGGAACCACGTGGGTGACTGGGAGCACTGTCTGGTGCGATTTCACGACGGCAAGCCCAAGGCGCTTTTCTTCAGCGCGCACTCGGCGGGAGAAGCGTACAGTTACGAAGCCGTTGAAAAGATCGGCCAGCGGGTAAGTAGAGATATCAATTGCTCTCCTCCCGCACGCACGTCCAGGGGATTCCCGACGCTAACCATGGATCCCTGTCAGCCCGTGATTTACTCCGCCATGGGCACCCATGCCATGTATGCCACCCCAGGCATCCATGCCTACATCCTGCCCTGGGGCTTGTTGCACGACCAAACCGACCGCGGGCCCCTGTGGGACCCTCTTCTGAATGCCCACGCCTATACGTACGATTATGATAGTGATAATCTTCGTGCATCCACTGCCACGCCAAGTGCCCCTATCGAGTGGTTCTACTTCAACGGCCATTGGGGCGACAAGTTCTATCCGCTAGGCGACCAGCGACAGTATCGATTCGCTGGTCAGTATCATTATGTCAACGGCCCAGTGGGACCGCGGTTCAAGCACCTCAACCGCCACAAGGTCTGTCAGCAGCGGGACGAGGAAGTCTGCGTCATCAAGAACTATATCGGAGAAGAAAAGCGGGCTAAACGCTGGGCGGGTACTCGACCTGAACATGAGAAAGAACATGACTGACGGGATCTCCCCTGGCCATTTGGCAGACCCCAGCCGTGGCACAATCGTGAGGTATTATTCTCATGTTAGTTGCTGGCATTCTTGCACTCCCTGCTGGTTGGAACCTATTCCTACTATATCCCTACCTTTTTCCAGGTTGCCCCTCGTATTGATAACCTATTATTTGCGCGCATTTGTTTATTCCGGTGTTATCTCATGTGGATATACCCTGGCGTTTTCCTTATTTTTACATCTCCTTGGTCGACTGCATAGACCACTGGCGCATGTTGGGGCTAGTTTCCCCCTCAAACCCACGATGGACGAGTTACACGACCCTACCTTATATCCTTACGCTACTACACATATCATGACAGTTTTGGACACGGACCAGGAGCCGTATGATGGCGTTCTGGTAGTTTGCATTTAATTTGGATGATTTACGGTCAGATACGAGGAGTCTAGCGATACGAATAGATGATTGGTTATAACCTCCGCTCTACATGGTTTACTCCTTCCACAATGAACAAGTATCTCTACTCTTAAATGACTATCTATATACACTCTATCTCTAGTCTATATGCGCGTTGACTCTAGAAAGTAACCGTTTCTCCCGGAGACAATCCTCCTCAAGACATAAATGCCCAACTATTGAGGCACCCTCTCCGAAACATCCCTCCAAAAATCACACCTAGCCCCTCTTTCTCCCTCCCAAGCAGACGAATTAACCAACCGGAAATGATTCACCACCCCATCTCCCTCCCGAATCCAGTACGACAGATTCGACGTCACCACATCATGAACCAAATATCCCCCCGTGGTATTCAAATCCATCATAACCGGGAACTCGGGCGAATAACTCGGCCAATCAAGCATCCTCGTCCCATTCTTACCATAACCCTTCTTACGACCACCACCCACAACAGGAACCGATGCATTCGCCTTTCCAGCCGTGGCATCTTCCATCGAAATCACTGGACTATCAGCCATGATAAACTGGCCCCACATCTTCTGGAAGGCCGTTCTGAATCCCTTATCGGGCCAGGTAGCGTCCGCGCTGAAGTACGCGGAGAGATCGGCGCCGTGGTACGCGGGTGTTACGGAGTATTGATATTTCCAGGCTTGACGAGGATGTTGGGGATCGGAGCAGGAAATGGTGTCGTCTTCTTGGCTGAAGGCGTCGGCCAGCCATTGCGCGGGACACGCGAAGGTGGTTTCGGCGAAGATGTTGAATACCGTTTGTTGCAGGCCGGTTGCCATTTCGGATTGATTGATGGCTGTTGGGCCGCTGGTACCGAGGGTGTCGTAGCGGGGGCTGTTGTCGGTGGATTGGCTGTTGAAGGTTTGGTAGACTTCGTTGAGGAGGGCGATGTCGGAGGAGGTGAAGAGGGGGAAGGTGGTTGAGATGTAGGAGTTGAAGGCCGGGCGGGTGACGACGTTGGGGTTGCTTAGGGGGACGCCGTCGTTGGCGTTGTTCTGTGGTTGATTGTTAGTGAGTGTTGGGGGACTGAGGAGGATGGAGGGTGCATACGCCGATGAGAATGCGTTTGCCGCTCACTTTGCCTTGAGCGAGCTGCACAGAGGGCCGTTCTTGGATCAGCTCGCCGTCGATGACTGGGAGGAAGGCCCAGGTGCCGAATAGTCCGGACGTGGAGACAGTGGCGCTGGCATTCTGCAGGAGGGTGCTGGGAGCTGCTACTAGGCAGTCAAAGGTCGTTGCGTAGTTCTTGATAGCTGTGGAGTTCAATCCACAGCCGGCCAGTTCAGCAAAGTCTTTGTAGTACTGCTCTGGCACTTTATCGTGGTAGTTGAAGATTGGGGGTGAGTAGGCGCTTGCGGCAATGATCTATGCGGTGACTGTCAGTCAATTTCGAGGTGGAAATGGGAGAGACGGACGTTGTTGAAGAGGTTGAACTCCTGGCCCCCGTATGCCAGCGCATGTAGCATGACTGCCCCGGCGCCTGAGGACTCTCCACCGATGGTCACACGCTTAGGATCACCGCCGAATTTGACAATGTGCTCCTGTACCCATTCGATGGCAAAGCGTTGGTCCAGAAGACCGGCGTTTGTCACGCCATGTTCCTTGACTTCCTCGGAGGAGAGAAAACCAAAGGCTCCCAGACGGTACTGGATTTCCACGGTGATGAACCCGTTGTTGTTGGTATTCATCATCGGGCTGGGGTCATAGGTCGCACCAAAGAGTCCATAGCCACCACCGTCTGTCCATAGATCGTTACAGTTAGCTAAGATACACGGTGCTACATAGTTGTTTGAAGACTTACGGATCCATAACAGAACGGGCAGGTCCGTTGCGTTCGGAGGAGCATAGACATTCAGGTATAGACAGTCTTCATCGCCAGGCCCCGAGTTGAAGCCGTAGATGTATGGTGTCTTTGCTGCCCCAGATTGAGGACAGACAGGGGGCTGGTCCACAGCTAATGTGATCTGGCTGTTGTTCTGCAATGGAGGTGCAGGCGCCTGCCAACGCCGTTTACCCACCGGAGGAGCTGCATACCGGATACTGGATGATAGATCAGGCCATGTCCACAATATAGACTATCTTTCTGCTGGTCAATGGGGGCGTGTTTCAGACATACCTCTTCCACACATTCAAGTCATAAGTGGAACTATAAGAACCCTGATAGGTCGCGTATCCCAGATCAACGATGGGATGCTGGCTGGCGGAGGAGAGCGCCGCGCTGGCCGCGAGCAGCAAACAGTATCCGGGCTTCATCTTTACCAGAGACCGTCAGATGAAGGAGTCGTTTCACCGAATCGGGCTCCCTGCAGAACAACAGTTAAATTTTGAAAAAGAGGCAGGGATGAGCAGTCCTACTAACGGCAATTAAGCGGCAGGGCGTCCGAGCCCAGATCCAGCTCAGGGGCAAGCTTTTTAGCGCATGTTGCAGAGCAGTGAGGTACTGGGTCAGCACTTAATACTAGTTGGGATAGCATGGAGCGGTGGGATGCCGGCGAGCAGCAGAGCGGATTCCTAGTGGATCGCAATCAATTTGGGCGGCCGCCATTCGATCACGGGGTAGGCACGTGTGGGCGGTCCAATGCTTCGTTCTGCACCGGCCATCGATCTTAGTCTCCAACTAACTCGCCGGTTCTTCCTACTGGGCACCGTCTGCTAGCTAGCTGGCTAGTTAGTTATCTCACTGCCTGAAGGATGAGTCGCTCAATCTCCGATACTTAGCGTGGGGCCAAAACCGCAATTAGAGCGCCTCGTCTATCCTTCGTGCTCCCTTGGCTGCAGCCATCTCGCACAAACTGGGCTGACTGCCGACGGAATGGCCTGGTCAGGCTGTCAGCATGAAGAATTGAAGACACAAGAGGGCGAGGGGTCTGCCAGACCCACCGTAAGCAGGCCAGCACCTCCTACAAAACACAATGGGGAGCACCTGCAGAATTCTGCTGCTGATGCGGCTGCTGCTGCTGCAATACAGTCCGACGGTTAGATGCTGTAGCCATCCAAGATGAGCTCTGCAGGGGCAAACTATTCAGCGGCATACCTGGCACAGTCGCGTGTGACCGAGGTGGCTGTGGCATACTCGGTCCCCATCCCCGTTGAGATCCTGACTACAGTATGGCGACTCTGGATCAAATTGCGGCCATCCTCGGAGTATGGCTTGACCTTTGACGACTACGTGATGATCTGGGCTACGGTGAGCGATCTAGCAGTTAATTGGGTTTAAGGGCACATCCTGACTCGAATGTCTCCATATAGATCATTGGTGTTGGCGTCTGCGTCAGTGGATTGGTTTACGGTGCGCTTAACCGGCCCGTCCCGTGGACATCTCTGGATCGTGTATTAACCAACTATCCACCTCGACAGGTCCTCCCTATGGTTTTGGACGACATGTCGCCGCCTTGCCAGACAAGGAAGTCGAAACATTCATGATGGTACGAAAGACTTAACCAAGTCAACTCGACACCCACCTTCAGATGGGCTGACGGATTCGAACCCAATGGTAGGGCGACTACATCTTCAGTCACTTCTACGATGTTGCCATCGCCAGCACCAAGCTCTCCGTGCTGGCACTATATTATCGCATTTTCATCACACCGAGATTCCGCCTAGTCGTTATCCTAACCGTGGTATGGGTGATCTTGTGGCTCATGACCATGGAAATTGTCCTAGGGCTGGAGTGCCGGCCGATCGCAAAGTTCTGGAACTCGAGCGTTGAAGGGACATGCTTCAACCTCGTTGCCTTCAGCTACTTCACCAACATTGCGAACCTCGTCACCGACATCTGGATCTTCCTCCTCCCCCTACCCGTCATCCTCCGCCTCCAGATCACAAAGAACAAGAAGATTGGCCTCAGCCTGCTCTTCTCCGTCGGCTTAGCGTACGTACTCAACCACTACCTTATAGTACCTAGCACCCCTAAGTAGCTAACATACATCCAGAACCTGCGCCATCAGCGCAGCCCGACTAACCGTCGTCGTCACCCAAGGTTCCTCCGACTACACCTGTAAGCCAAACCACCCCCTCCCCCCGACCAACCAACTGACTTCAACAAAGGGGCCGGCGTCCCCCTGGGCATCCTCTCCGCCTGGGAACCCCTCGGCGGTATTCTCTGCGCCAACCTCCCCGTAATCTATAAATCCCTGGCTGTCGTTTTCCGCAGCATAAAGGGCACACTCCTCACCCACGGCTCACGCAGCGCCCACGCCTCCTCTACCCAGCGCCAAACAAAGTCCAGCGCCCATCACCATCACAATACCTGGCTGCAGCTGAATAATGGCAGCGGGGCCGGGAATAGCTACCGCTCTGAGATCTTGGCTTTGAAAAGCATGGACGATGACGATGATGATACGGAGATGCAGCCCGTGCCGGGGACGAATACGATTATGGTTGAGAGGCAGTTTGAGCAGGAAGTGGTTGATCGGCATCATGACCCTCACCATAATCATCATGATGGGAGAGAGGGGGATGAAGAGCCCTTGAGAGGGAAATAGTGATGTGTTTATTTTTGAATACATGTATGCACTGATATAGTCTAAGTAATATGACTTCT